GATGATGAATGGATATTTTTGTTTGTTCATTGATTTTCAGGTCATACCCAACTTGGAATGGTTGGGTTTAAATGCCGATAACATTACATCCAGTTGCCTGGATCGTATTCCAGCTAGGATTCTAGGAACTTAAATTTTTTGGGCTGGTTACTGTGACAATGAATCAATGGCATTTTGGTTTGGGGTTCTTCAAAAACTGTACCACCTGGAAAATTCTATCTAGCTGATAGTACTCTACAAGAACTTGATTACCAATGGGCACATTTCTTCAAAATCTTCAAACTCTGAAAGTAGAGAGATGTCATCTTTTGAAATATTTAATGCCACTTCAGTATTTTCTTTCAAAAATCTTAAGAGTTTGGAAGTATTCGTTTGCAATGGATTAGCGAAGATATTAGCATCTCAGCAGGAAGAACTCTTGTCTATCTTACATCACTCCGAATAGAGAATGTAAGTTAGTGAAGAGGTAATAGCAAATGATGTAGACAACATTGATAAAGATTGCTTTCAACGCTTGAAATTTTGGAGCTTCATTTTTTACCGAGTCTCACAAGCTTCTGCTCAGCCATTTCGATTTCGAATTCCCATGCTTAGAACAATTAATTGGAGTCATGCCCCAATTTGAAGATCTTTTCTCAAGGAGGCTTAAGCACACCAAAATTAAACAGAGTACACTAACAAAGAGCACTCAATGAAGAAATTGTGGAATGATGACCTTAATCCACTATCCATCAAATGTTTACGAAAATGGTACGTACTCATTCCATATTCTTTTTATTTTGTTTTGCAACATTGCCATTAATCTCTCTCTCTCTCTCTCCCTATATATAATTTTGTGCCCTTAGCTACCAATTAGCTTAAGCTTTTTAGATAAAGATAAAGCAGTAGTTTAACATTACCTTGTGTCTTACTTGATAAGGTCCAAATGTTATAATGCAAAATTGGTATTAAAAGTTTATTAGAACAATTTATTACTAAACAATGTACATAATTTTTGGTTCATCAATTTTAGTGTAGAATGTATAAAGCCTAACCAATGGAGAAATTAAATGAGAAACCAAATCATGCTGTTTGTTCTTGTTCTGCAAAATTGCCAGAATAATATCACTTTTGTATTTTTAAACATGCATTAAAAGTTAGTATTGATATGAACAATTGCATTAATAGAAAAATAAGAAATAATTTTTTTTTTTTTTTTTTAATTTAAGAACTTAAAACAATAGAGGAAGAGAAATGTAGAACTGAAGGAAAAGACAGTGGATGATAAATTTACCAAAAAGTATTTGACAAATTAAGGAATTGATTTTGTAGTAAGATTAAGAGATTCTTTTTTATAAAATGAAATAAAACATTTAATAAATTCTAAATTTAAGACAGAATTAAATTTTAAAATAATATTTTCTTTCTAAAATTTCAGGATTGATATGAATTCATATTGTTAAGCTTAAAACTACTTTTTTTTTCCTTCTTTTACACTTTAGCCTCTTCTAACACTTTTTAACAAAAATTTTGTGTTTTGTAGCTTGGATTTCGCAAATTAGAACTTGAAACTCTCTGAATTCCCACATTAGAAGAAAAAGTTGGGAATGCTCAAGTTCCTATTGGCTTATTCTGCAATTTAAAGTCACTAGTTTGGGACGTGTTTTTGGTACGTTATCTGCAATTCCAGCAAGTGTGTTAAGCGCCTTTAAAAACCTGGAAACACTAGAAGTAAGAAGTTGTGGTTCGCTAAAAAAAGTGTTTGTATGGATACACAACAAATGCTGATGGACATACGTTGAAGAAACTAATCAAGAAGCTTTGGACTTCAACAACATGAAATCGCTTAAAGTTTACAATTGCTGCAACTTGAGATGTATATTTACTGCATCTATCATCTCAGCCTTGCTCAACTCCAAAGATAGCAGTTAAATTGTGCGTTGATAGAAGAAATCATCATGAAAGAAGAAGAAAAGGAAGCACACATTGAGGAAATTAGAATCCCCCAACTAAACTCCATTGTTCTTGAGTCATTGCCTAATTTGACAAGCTTCTGTTTAGAATTAATATTTTGGAATGTCCTGCCTTGAAAGCTATTGCAGTAGCCAAATGCCCCAAACATTGAGACAATTATTTTCGCTGATATGGCACCATCTGACCACATTGCACCCTTTTTCAGCAAAAAGGTTGCTATATCTGAACTCTTTTTTCACTCTTTAATTTTATTATCTTTATAATTATCTATGTTATATCATCATCTACGTTTATTGAAATTGGATTGTTATGCATAGTTGAAAATAACATATTGTTTAATTCCGATATACTTTGGTTCAATGGTTTTTAGGAAAAAATCTTTTTGTTGAATTTAATGATCGTAAAATTTTTATTTCCAATATATTTTGGAAAGCTTACCTCGAGATGTTTTTGTAGGTTGTTTTTCCAAGCTTGAAGACACTTTATCTGTATGATAGTACTTTCCAAGAACTATTCCCAATGAAGGTTATTATGGAAACAAATTCCCAAATGGCACCAGTTCTTCAAAATCTTCAAACTTTGAAAATATGGAGATGTCATCATTTGACATATTTAATATCATCCTCCACAATTTCCTTCAAAAACATTAAGAATTTGGAAGTCCACTGTTGTAATGGATTGGCAAATATATTGCATGCTCAATAGTAAGAACTCTCGTCCATCTCACAATAATCAAATAACAGATGCAAGTTAGTGACAGAGGTAATAGCGACTGAGGCAGAGACACGGAAAGGGAGATTGTTTTCAGCCAATTGAAATTCTTGAGCTTCATTGTTAACAAGCATCACAAGCTTCAGCTCAGCCAATTATGCTTTCGAATTCCCATGCTTAAACAAGTAATTGTGAGTCAATGCCCCAATTTGAGATCTTTTCTCAAGGAGATTTAAGCACACCAAAATTAAACAAATGCAACTAACAAAGAAGATCGATGAGAATATTTTGGAATGATGACCTTAATTCCACTATCCATCAGATGTTTACGAATATGGTACTTACTCATTCACATATTCTTTTTATTTTCTTTTGCAACATTACATATATTACTACTATTCTTTGTATAATTAAAGAATATGTGAGAAAATTGCTGCAGTGCCAAACGCATGACCACAGAATCATAAATTTGGATACAAATTCTCAAAACTACTCTTCTTGCAAGAATCCATTGTCCTTTCACAACTATTTCAATTAAGAAAATGTTTAATTCCGGATTCCACGTATCTGATTGTTTTGAAAAATTCATCATCAATCTACACATGGCATAAGCAAATATTGGCTAAGCAACATAGTTGTTCTATATTTTTCACTGAATTTGTTTTAGAAACTATTTTGTGAACTGGAATAAATTATTTGTTTTGTTAATAAAGTAATCTCCTGAGAATATATATATTTTTTTTTTTTTCTGTTAAAACCTTGGGGTGTTGCCTATATATACACTATTGGATAGTTTCATGTTGGCTTTGTCAAGTAGACTAGTACATAAATTTCAAATGGTTCCACTGTATTCATGCCTAAGTGTTGGCTGGTCTTAATAATTGGGCACACAATTGAGACTTAAAAAAAAAAAAAATTGTATTAGAGGTATATATATTTTGACATAATCTCAATATTTTTCTTATGACCTTAAAATGTTTCTAAATACATAAAAAACCACCCACATTAATGCTTTTATTTGAGTAGTTTTCTGAAGATATTTGTTACAGGAATTTAAAACTTGTTAATTAGAGTTATTACATCCTTGTCAGCCTTTGATTTAAAATTTCTGTCGATATAATATAATCTTATACTTAAGCATAAAATAGTATTTTTAATATTTTCAAATTAAATCATAATTCTCATTGTGCATGTTTTAACTAACGTAATGTTTTTGGTTTGCAGGTTGGTTTTCGTAAATTTGAACATCTGAAGCTCTGTGAATTCTCTTTCTAAAAGAAAACATATGAATGGCAAAGTTCCATTGTTTATTCTGCAATTTGAAGTCATTAGTGCTAGATGGGCTTTCTGATAGTGCAACTATTATTCCACCATTGTTAAGCTACTTCAAAAATGTGGAAAAGATAGAGGTAAAATTGTATTCGCTGAAAAAGTTTTTGATGTGGAAGAGCAACTAGATTATGTTGATGGACGTACAGCAAAGAGAAGTCATCATGAAATTTTGGGCTTCAGAAATCTGAAATCATTGAAAGTTTTAATTGCAACAACTTGAGATATAATATCTGCATCTTTAGTCTCAAGCCTCGTGCAACTCGAACAGATAGAAATAAAAAGTTGTGCTTTGGTTGAAGAAATCATTACAAAAAGGGGAAAAGGATGCGGGCATTGATAAATTAAATCCCTCTATTGAAGTCCATTAGTCTTGAGTCTTTACCAAATTTGACAAGCTTCTATTCAGGAAGTAATATTTTGGATGTCCTCCCTGAAAACCATCATCATAAAAGCTGTCAGAATATACATTTGAAGGACTTCAGCCTCCATCTCCATCCCTTTTCAGTGAAATGTAAGTTTTTAGAGTTTTATTAAAGAAATTTACATAGTGTAAAATAATTTAGGTATCATAGATAATGTTATTCACAAACAATCATAATATCTGCAGGTTGTGTTTCCTACCATGGATGACTTAACATTATCCTCAATCTCACTGAGTGGTATGGCAGAGCCAACTGGCCAGCCATTTCCGTGCTTTCAAAACTTACAATCTTGGTCATTGATGGCTTTGATCATTTAAAATATTTTTCTGTTCTTCATGTGTCAAAAGTCTTTTCAATTTGAAGGAGCTTGAGATATCCAATTGTAAGTTGATAGAAGGAATTATAGTTGAAATGAAGAGAGGACAAGTACAATGCTGTTTCCTAAATTATACCAGCTGAAGCTTAAGATCTTCCAAACTCACAACATTCTGCAGCTCCACTGGAAATTTTGTTGAATTGTCCTCCTATTCAGATTGTGGATTGACAATTGTCCGGTATGAAATCATTTGTCTCCATTTCTATTGGAGACATGACATCAACCAAGAAACTTGAAGAGATGAACTCCAATGAGAACCTCCAAGCACATGCAATCTCTTTTTGATAAAAAGGTGATTTATCTCTTTTTTCTTTCACATTTATTCCCTTCTTTGTTCATACTTTCTGAGATTCTTTAATCTATTTTCTCATTTTTTTTCATCATACTCATGTCAATGTTTATAAGTAATTGATATCGGTGCCTTGTTATTGTAATGTAATTGGATTCTTCAGGTAAGGCTCCCTTGTTTGGAGAGATTGCAAATCAGTTATGCTGATGAATTGGTAAAAATATGGGACGATCAGGTCTCTTTGGATTGTTTCAGCAGTTTAAATCGTGTGTTTGTACGGTTTTGTAAAAAACTTGTAAATGTTTTTCCACCTATCATGCTTGAGAGACACCCAGAACTAGAGATGCTGGAAGTGCAAAATTGTGATTCAGTTGAAGAGATATTTGAAGTGCTTGAGAAAAGATCTGGCATGGTGGAGGAAATTGTTGCCAATGAAGAAGCAGGTCATAAATTTGTGTTCTCCAACTTAACAAGGTTGAATTTACAGATGCTTCCAAGTCTCAAAAGTCTGTACCCAAAAAAACATATTTCAGAGTGGCCGGTTTTATACAAGTTGAAGGTAAATGGATGTAACAATGTGGAGACTTTAGCTTCAAAATTTCTGACCATCAGAGAGACTCATGGGCAGAGTCAAAATGAGACCCCAAATCAAAAACCACTATTCTTGGTTGACAAGGTATGTAGAAGGCATTGTAACTAAATATTCATTGAAAAAAAAAATTAGTTCAGCTTAAACGTCCACTCAAGTATATGCAAGTTTTAATTCTCTATTCTACATATATAATAATTCAGCTTTCTTGTGATATTCTAGGATGGATTCCCAAGATTGGAAGAGCTTGAGTTATGTGAAATGCCCAGATTGTTGCATCTATGGAGAGGAAATCCTCAACCTAGCAATGCTTTTCTAAATCTGAAGACTCTAAAACTATCAGAATGTGGCAGTTTAGATAATTCATGGTCATCATCGGTGTCTTTCCAAAATTTGGTGAGTTTGCAAGTATCAAAGTGTGATGGATTGAGATATTTACTGAGCCTCTCAAAAGCTAAAACTCTGAAGTGGCTTACAAGTATGAATATATCTGAGTGCAAAATGATGGATCAAATTATATCCACTTTGGAGGGTGAAGTGGTGGAGGATTCAATTGCTTTCAACTATTTGAATAATTTGGAAATTCATTGTTTACCAAGCCTTACAAGCTTTTGTGGTGGAGATATTAGTCTTGAATTTCCATCATTGAGAAAAGTAATTGTCAAACAATGCTTGAAGATGGAGACTTTTTGTCTTGGAGTTTTAAGCACGCCAAAGCTACAAACATTACAGTTGATAGAAGGAGAGGAGGAAGTTGAAGAATGTGGGGAAGGCAACCCTGAACTTAATTCTGCCATACAACAATTTTTCAATAAAAGGGTATGTATTGATTCACAAAATTATCACGTGCATTTCCCTTGCACTTTCTGATTTGCTGAAAATATTTCTTCTTTGGTATATTATTGCGATTGATGTATTAATCAATTGCTTTAATCCTCTTTCTTTTTATGTGATGGGAACTCTATGCGAGTCTTTCAGCAAACTAAGAATTTTGAAAGTTGAAAATGTGATGGTTGGAGCATCTCTTCTCGTTCTCCAGTATAAAAGTTTTCGCAGCTTCAAGAATTGAAGTCTTGATTGTAAGACCTAAAGGAGATTTTTGGTGAAGAAAGTGTAGACTTAGTGGTTGAAAACGCAAGGAATAGTAAGCTTGAGTTCACTCCATTGCGTTCCCTAGTACTCACATGCCTACCACAATTCATAAGTTTTGGCATGAAGGTATATTTTCTCTTTTTCTTTTTTCATTTTCTTTTCATGTATAAAAGGTTTTTTGTATTAGTTTCTAATTTTTTATGGAGTAATTTGCTTTTGCAGGTTGTTTTGCCAAGATTGGAGAACTTCACTGTCCTCAATTAAAATTGAGGATATATGCTTGGTCAACCTCAACTGATGTCTTCTTTTCATACTTAAAAATATTAACTGTGGAGGAGTGTAATGGTTTGAATTTCTGTTTTCATCCTCCATGGTCAAAGTTTTATGCAACTCCAAAAGCTTGTGATATGCAAATGCAGTCAATGGAAGCAGTGATTGGCTCAGAAGGATTAGAAGTACAAGATAAGATAATTGATATGAGTTTTCCTAAATTGTTTTGCCTAAAACTTGCGTGTCTTCCAAAACTCACAAGATTTGGCACCGGAAATTCAGCTGAATTTCCCACCTTGAATGAACTTCACATTGAGAGTTGCTCTAATTTGAAGACGTTCTTCTCTGATTTTTCTGGTGTAGACATGTTAAGAGAAGAACCTGAGGAAGTGAGCTTGGAGGCTATATTATTGATGTAAATCCCCTTTTTGACAAAAGGTAAAGTTAATTCTTCTTATTGAATTCTTCCTTGTCTGTTGGCCTCAAAATTTTAACCTTTTATGTACCTATTAATGTCACTATTATCAGTAATTAAGTAGTAGAAATTTGCTTATAGATATTTTCTTTTATTTTTTTATTAAAGAAGACAAAATCCTTCTCATGTCTTCTATTTTGATCTCATATATATGCCCAAAAAGAAATTTACATGATGAGATGTTTTTTGCAGGTTCTTTTCCAAGTTTGGAGAAGATGATACTCTCACACTTGGATAACTTACAGTTGATATGGCACAACAAACTCCATGGAGATTCCTTTTCGAAACTAAAAGAAGTGAGAGTCGATTCTGTAAAAAATTGATGACTATTGTTCCTTCTAATTCTACTCAAGGACTTCTTACCTTTCACAATCTAGAAACATTAACTGTAAAAGATGTTGGAATATGAAAAGTCTGTTTCCAGTTTCCATAGCTACTGGTCTTTTGCAACTTAACGAGCTTCAGATTATCGCTTGTGGGTTGGAGGAAATTGTTGTTGCCAAGGGGAAGTAGTGGGACCCCTAGATTTTTGTTTCCCGAATTAACCTTCCTCAAACTTGATAATTACCAAAACTCAAACATTTTTACATGGGGTTGCATGCAATTGAGTGGCCAGGCTAGAACGGTTGCTAGTGTATAAATGTAAAAAGATGAAAGTATTGCTTCAGATGGAGAGAGCCAACCTCCCCTGTTTTCATTTGAAAAGGTATGACTTCTCCTATTGCCACTAAAAAATGCAACATAATCTTAAGGTTTATTTGTGACATACTTTCTTTTCTCTTCAAACCAATCGAGTGGATTTATTGAATGTATTGATCATGTTTTAAAGTAAGATATAAATTTTGTCAATTAATTAATTCTTGTATTCTAAAGTATTTTATAATCAGGTTGTCAGAATTATATCTATTTAGAGCGTATATATAATATAATTATAGGAAAGTTAAATGGTTAAAAATTGGCACCCTTATATACTAAATTTACTTGTGAACTAGATGTGAATGGATATTTTTTGTTGTTCATTGATTTTCAGGTCATACCCAACTTGGAATGGTTGGGTTTAAATGCCGATAACATTACATCCAGTTGCCTGGATCGTATTCCAGCTAGGAGCTTTAGGAAACTTAAATTTTTTGGGCTGGTTAACTGTGACAATGAATCAATGGCATTTGGTTTGGGGTTCTTCAAAAACTGTACCACCTGGAAAAATTCTATCTAGCTGATAGTACTCTACAAGAACTTGATTACCAAGTGGGCACATTTCTTCAAAATCTTCAAACTCTGAAAGTAGAGAGATGTCATCTTTTGAAATTTTAATGCCATCTTCAGTATTTTCTTTCAAAAATCTTAAGAGTTTGGAAGTATTCGGTTGCAATGGATTAGCGAAGATATTAGCATGCTCAGCAGGAAGAACTCTTGTCTATCTTACATCACTCCGAATAAGAGTGTAAGTTGTGAAAGAGGTAATAGCAAATGATGTAGACACATTGATAAAGAGATTGCTTTCAACCAGTTTGAAAATTTTGGAGCTTCATTGTTTCCCGAGTCTCACAAGCTTCTGCTCAGCCATTTTCGATTTCGAATTCCCATGCTTAAAACAAGTAATTGTGAGTCAATGCCCCAATTTAAGATCTTTTCTCAGGAGGCTTAAGCACACCAAAATTAAACAGAGTACAACTAACAAAGAGCATCAATGAGAATATTTGTGGAATGATGACCTTAATTCCACTATCCATCAAATGTTTACGAAAATGGTACGTACTCATTCACATATTCTTTTTATTTGTTTTGCAACATTGCCATTAATCTCTCTCTCTCTCTCTCCCTATATATATAATTTTTGCCTTAGCTCCATTAGCTAAGCTTTTAGATAAAGAAAAGCAGTAGTTTAACATTACCTTGGGTCTTACTTGATAAGGTCCAAATGTTATAATGCAAAATTGGGTATTAAAGTTTATTAGAACAATTTATACTAAACATGTACATAAATTTTTGGTTCATCAATTTTAGTGTAGAATGTATAAAGCCTAACCAAGGGAGAAATTAAAATTGAGAACCAAATCATGCTGTTTGTTCTTGTTCGGCAAAATTGCCAGAAAATATCACTTTTGTAATTTTTAAACATGCATTAAAAGTTAGTATTGATATGAACAAATTGCATTAAGAAAAATAAGAGAAATAATTTTTTTTTTTTTTTTTTAATTTAAGAACTTAAAACAATAGAGGAAAGAAATGTAGAACTGAAGGAAAAGACGGATGATAAATTTACCAAAAAGTATTTGACAAATTAAGGAATTGATTTTGTAGTAAGATTAAGAGATTCTTTTTTTATAAAATGAAGATAAAACATTAATAAATTCTAAATTTAGACAGAATTAAAATTTTAAAATAATTATTTTCTTTCTAAAATTTCAGGATTGATAGAATTCATATTGTTAAGCTTAAAACCTTTTTTTTCCTTCTTTAACACTTTAGCCTCTTCTAACACTTTTTAAGCAAAAATTTTGTGTTTTGTAGCTTGGATTTCGCAAATGAACATTTGAAACTCTCTGAATTCCCCACATTAGAAGAAAAAGTTGGGAATGCTCAAGTTCCTATTGGCTTATTCTGCAATTTAAAGTCACTAGTTTTGGACGTGTTTTTGGGTACGTTATCTGCAATTCCACAAGTGTGTTAGCGCCTTTAAAAACCTGGAAACACTAGAAGTAGAAGTTGTGGTTCGCTAAAAAAAGTGTTTGATATGGATACACAACAAAATGCTGATGGACATAGTTGAAGAAAACTAATCAAGAAGCTTTGGACTTCAACAACATGAAATCGCTTAAAGTTTACAATTGCTGCAACTTGAGATGTATATTTACTGCATCTATCATCTCAGGCCTTGCTCAACTCCAAAAGATAGCAGTTAAAATTTGTGCGTTGATAAAGAAATCATCATGAAGAAGAAGAAAAGGAACACACATGGAGGAAATTAGAATCCCCCAACTAACTCCATTGTTCTTGAGTCATTGCCTAATTTGACAAGCTTCTGTTTAGGAATTAATATTTTGGAATGTCCTGCCTTGAAAGCTATTGCAGTAGCCAATGTCCAAACATTGAGACATTATTTTCGCTGATATGAAGCACCAATCTGACCCAATTGCACCCTTTTTTCAGCAAAAAGGTTGCTATATCTGAAACTCTTTTTACATCTTTAATTTTATTATCTTTATAATATCTATGTTATTATCATCATCACGTTATTAGAAATTGGATTGTTATGCAGTTGAAAATAACATATTGTTTAATTCCGATATACTTTTGTTCAATGGTTTTTAGGAAAAAATCTTTTTGTTGAATTTAATGATCGTAAATTTTTATTTCCAATATATTTTGGAAGCTTACCTCGAGATGTTTTTGTAGGTTGTTTTTCCAAGCTTGAAGACACTTTCTGTATGATAGTACTTTCCAAGAACTATCCCTATGAAGGTTATATATGGAAACAAGATTCCCAAATGGACACAGTTCTTCAAAATCTTCAAACTTTGAAAATATGGAGATGTCATCATTTGACATTTTAATATCATCCTCCACAATTTCCTTCAAAACTTAAAAGAATTTGGAGTCCACTGTTGTAATGGATTGGCAAATATATTAGCATGCTCAATAGTAAGAACTCTCGTCCATCTCACAAATCAATAACAGATGCAATTAGTGACAGAGGTAATAGCGACTGAGGCAGAGACAACGGAAGAGGAGATTGTTTTCAGCCAATGAAAATTCTTGAGCTTCATTGTTTAACAAGCATCACAACTTCAGCTCAGCCAATTATGCTTTCGAATTCCCATGCTTAGAACAAGTAATTGTGAGTCAATGCCCAATTTGGAGATCTTTTCTCAAGGAGATTTAAGCACACCAAAATTAAACAAAGTGCAACTAACAAAGAAGATCGATGAAGATATTTGTGAATGATGACCTTAATTCCACTATCCATCGATTTTTACGAATATGGTACTTACTCATTCACATTTCTTTTTTTTTTTCTTTTGCAACATTCATATTACTACTATTCTTTGTATAATTAAAGAATATGTGAGAAAATTGCTGCAGTGCCAAACGCATGACCACAAGAATCATAAATTGATACAAATTCTCAAAACTACTCTCTTGCAAGAATCCATTGTCCTTTCACAACTATTTCAATTAAGAAATGTTTAGTTCCGGATTCCCGTATCTTGATGTGTTTTGAAAAATCTCTCATCAATCTACACATGGCATAAGCAATATTGGCTAAGCAACATAGTTGTTCTATATTTTTCACTGAATTTGTTTTAGAAACTATTTTGTGAAACTGGAATAATTTTTTTTTTGTTTTGTTAATAAAAGTATCTCCTGAGAATATATATTTTTTTTTTTTTCTGTTTAACCTGTGTTTTGCCTATATATACACTATGGATAGTTTCATGTTTGCTTTGTCAATGTAAGTACTAGTACATAAATTTCAAATGGTTCCACTGTATTTCATGCCTAAGTGTTGGCTGGTCTTAATATTAGGGCCACAAATTGAAGACTTAAAAAAAAAAAAAATTGTATTAGAGGTTATATATATTTGACATAATCTCAATTTTTCTTATGACCTTAAATGTGTCTTAAAATACATAAAACCACCCACATTAATGCTTTTATTTGAGTAGTTTGCTGAAGATAATTTTGTTACAGGAATTTAAAACTTGTTAATTAGGAGTTATTACATCCTTGTCAGCCTTTGATATTAAAATTTCGTCGATAATAATATGAATTCTTATACTTAAGCATAAAATAGTATTTTTAATATTTCAAATTAATCATAATTCTCATTGTGCAGTTTTAACTAACGTAATGTTTTTGGTTTTGCAGGTTGGTTTTCGTAATTTGAACATCTGAAGCTCTGTGAATTTCTCTCTAAAAGAAAACATATGGAATGGCAAAGTTCCAATTGATTTATTCTGCAATTTGAAGTCATTAGTGCAGATGGGCTTTCTGATAGTGCAACTATTATTCCATCCAATGTGTTAACTACTTCAAAAATGTGGAAAAGATAGAGGTAAAAAATTGTGATTCGCTGAAAGAAGTTTTTGATGTGGAAGAGCACCTAGATTATGTTGATGGACGTACAGCAAAGAGAAGTCATCATGAAATTTTGGGCTTCAGAAATCTGAAATCATTGAAAGTTGATAATTGCAACAACTTGAGATATATATTTACTGCATCTTTAGTCTCAAGCCTCGTGCAACTCGAACAGATAGAAATAAAAGTTGTGCTTTGGTTGAAGAAATCATTACAAAAAAGGGGAAAAGGATGCGGGCATTGATAAATTAAATCCTCTATTGAAGTCATTAGTCTTGAGTCTTTACCAAATTTGACAAGCTTCTATTCAGGAAGTAATATTTTGGAATGTCCTCCCTTGAAACACCATCATCATAAAAGACTGTCAGAATATACTTTTGAAGGACTTCAGCCTCCATCTCCCATCCCTTTTCAGTGAAAATGTAAGTTTTTTAGAGTTTTATTAAAGAAATTTACATAGTGTAAATAAATTTAGGTATCATAGATATGTTATTCACAAACATCATAATATCTGCAGGTTGTGTTTCCTACCATGGATAACTTACCATTATCCTCAATCATCACTGAGTGGATATGGCAGAGCCAACTGGCAGCAGCATTTCCGTGCTTTCAAAACTTAACAATCTTGGTCATTGATGGCTTTGATCATTTAAATATGTTTTCTTTCTTCTTCAATGGTCAAAAGTCTTTTCAATTTGAAGGAGCTTGAGATTCCAATTGTAAGTTGATAGAAGGAATTATATTTGAAAATGAAGAGAGGACGAGTACAATGCTGTTTCTAAATTAACCAGCTGAGCTTAGAGATCTTCCAACTCACAACATTCTGCAGCTCCACTGGAAATTTTGTTGAATTGTCCTCCTTATTCAGATTGTGGATTGACAATTGTCCTGGTATGAAATCATTTGTCTCCATTTCTATTGGAGTGACATGACATCAACCAAGAAACTTGAAGAATACTCCAATGGAACCTCCAACTACATGCAATCTCTTTTGATAAAAGGTGATTTATCTCTTTTTTTCTTTCACATTTATTCCCTTCTTTGTTCATACTTTCTGAGATTCAAGTTAATCTATTTTCTCATTTTTTTCATCATATCTCATCAATGTTTATAAGTATTGTAATCGGTGCCTTGTTATTGTAATTGTAATGATTCTCTGGTGTTGCATCAAAAATTGCAGAGTCAGCTTTTGATACCATTGGACATCATATATCTTATTTGTTCAAGTACCAGAGCTATATCGATGATCTCAAGAATCGAGTTGAGGATCTGGGAAATGCAAGAGAGAGGGTGGAACATCAAGTTGATGAAGCTAAAAAACGAGGGGAAGAGATTGAACAGGATGTAGAGCTATGGCTTGAAAGAGTGAATGAGTTCACTGAAGGGGTTGTAAAACCCATAACTGGTGATGAAGATAAAGCAAAGAATCGTTGTTTCATAGGGTTGTGTCCTAATTTGATTCAGCGTTACATGCTCGGCAAGAAGGCAGCGAAAGCGTTACCAGGTGGTACCGATCTCTCAGGAAAGGGGAACTTCAGTAGTGTTTCCTACCGTCCTCCAATACAGAGGACAGAATCCGTTTATACTAGAGGCTATGAGGCCTTTGATTCCAGGATGCGAGTTTTGCAGGAAATTATGGAAGCATTGAAGGATTCTAATGTTAACATGGTTGGGGTGTATGGGATGGCTGGTGTGGGAAAAACTACATTGGTGAAAAAAGTAGCTTGGCAAGCAGAGGAAGATAAGCTATTTGATCAAGTGGTCATGACTACAGTAACACAGACCCCAGACTTGAAGAACATGCAAGAAGAAATTGCTGATCAATTAGGCCTAATATTCCCTGAGCAAAGTGTATCCGGAAGATCTCTTCGATTACGTGATAGATTGAAGAGGGAGAAGAGGATTCTAGTAATATTAGATGATATATGGGCTAAAGTCGATTTGGATGTGGTGGGAATTCCTTATGGAGATATTCACGAGGGAATTGGCCAGGAAAAAGAAGACTGGAGAGACAGAAAAGATGATGACAAACGATACAAGATATTGCTTACATCTAGAGATCAAGACTTATTACGTAATCATATGAATGTTCAAAAGAACTTCTTTGTTGATCTTTTATCTGATAGAGAAGCATGGAACTTGTTTCAGAAGATTGTAGGTGATTTCGCTGAAACCGCTGGATTCCGACCTATAGCAGAAGATTTGGTTGGAAAATGTTCAGGTTTGCCTATTGCTATTGAAACAGTTGCAAAGGCATTGAAAAATAAGAGTCTTCCAGTTTGGAAAGATGCCTTGGGCCAATTAAGAAGATCTAATCCTAGACCCATTGAAGGAATGGCTACGAGTGTGTACTCTATTATAGAACTGAGCTATAATTTTTTGCGAAGTGAGGAAAAATCACTATTACTTCTTTGTGGTCTAGTTAATACAGGTAGTCATATACACATTAGCTACTTACTAAGATATAGTATGGGTTTGCGCTTATTGCAAGATGTTTATACCTTGGAAGATGGAAGAAATAGATTACATAGTTTGATCCATGGTCTCAAAGCTTCGTCTTTGTTGTTGGATGGTATCACCAATGATACTGTTAAAATGCATGACATCATTCATGCCGTTGTTGTATCAATTGCATCCTCAGATAAATTTATGTTTAATATTAAAAATGTTGTTGATTTGAAAGCAGTGCTAGAGGAAAAACCCAAAACTTCAAATGCTATATCTTTGCACTATGGAGATATTGGTGATGAGCTTCCGCAAAGTTTGGAATATCCGAAACTCAAGTTTTTTCATCTATTCAGGGAAAATCACTTTCTAGAAATCCCAGACCTCTTATTCCAAGGGATGAAAGAACTCCAAGTTTTGGATTTGACTGGAATTTGTGCCTTGTCACTACCTTCTTCACTCCGCTGCCTGAAAAACCTTCAAACACTATGTTTGAACGCCTGCCTACTAGAAGACATAGCAATAGTTGGAGAGCTAGAGAAGTTAGAAATTCTTAGCCTGCTAAATTCTGACATAGAAAAGTTGCCCGGAGAAATTGGACAATTGACTCGGTTGAAGATGCTAGATTTGACCAGTTGTTCAAAACTGAAAGTAATTGCACCAAATGTCATTTCAAGCCTTTCCCGATTAGAAGAACTATATATGAGCAATAGTTTCCTTCATTGGGAGATTGAAGGATTGATCAACAATCAAGAACGAAGCAATGCCAGTCTTCTTGAGTTGAAGCAATTGTCTCGCCTAACCACTCTAGATATATATGTTCATGGCATCCAGATTATACAAGAAGACTTGTTTTCAGAGAAGTTAATAAGATACAGAATACTCATAGGAGATCAATGGAATTGGAGATGGCACACTACTTATGGTGAAACCTCCAGAATGTTGAAAATAAAGCTCGACAACAGCATTTCCTTGATCCATCGAGTTAAAATTTTGTTGAAGAAAACTGAAGAACTCCATTTAGAATTGAATGGTGTTAAAAATGCTATTGATGAACTTGATGAGGGTGGTTTTGCACAATTAAAGCATCTTCAAGTACAAAATGGTCATGAGCTCTTATATGTTGTTAGCGTTGTTCCTAGCAAAACTGTCTTCCCAAGGTTAGAGTCATTATTTCTTCATAATTTGATTAAATTAGAGAAGATATGTGATGGGGAACTCTATGCGGAGTCTTTCAGCAAACTAAGAATTTTGAAAGTTGAAAAATGTGATAGGTTGGAGCATCTCTTCTCGTTCTCCGAGTATAAAAAGTTTTCGCAGCTTCAAGAAATTGAAGTCATTGATTGTAAGAACCTAAAGGAGATTTTTGGTGAAGAAAGTGTAGACTTAGTGGTTGAAAACGCAAGGAATAGTAAGCTTGAGTTCACTCCATTGCGTTCCCTAGTACTACAATGCCTACCACAATTCATAAGTTTTGGCATGAAGGTATATTTTCTCTTTTTCTTTTTTCATTTTCTTTTCATGTATAAAAGGTGTTTTGTAATTAGTTTCTAAGTTATTTATGGAGTAAGATTTGCTTTTGCAGGTTGTTTTGCCAAGATTGGAGAACTTGACACTGTACTCAATTAAAATTGAGGATATATGGCTTGGTCAACCTCAACTGATGTCTTCTTTTCAATACTTAAAAATATTAACTGTGGAGGAGTGTAATGGTTTGAAATTTCTGTTTTCATCCTCCATGGTCAAAAGTTTTATGCAACTCCAAAAGCTTGTAATATGCAAATGCAAGTCAATGGAAGCAGTGATATTGGACTCAGAAGGATTAGAAGTACAAGATAAGATAATTGATATGAGTTTTCCTCCTAAATTTGTACCAAACTTGCGTGTCTTCCAAAACTCACAGATTTGCACCGGAAATTCAGCTGAATTTCCCACCTTGAATGAACTTCACATTGAGAGTTTCTCTAATTTGAAGACGTTCTTCTCTGATTTTTCTGGTGTAGACCTGTTAAGAGAAGAACCTGAGAGAGTGAGCTTGGAGGACTATATTATTGATGTAAATCCCCTTTTGACAAAAAGGTAAAGTTAATCTTCTTATTGAAATTCTTCCTTGTCTGTTGGCCTCAAATTTTAACCTTTTTGTACCTGTAATGTCACTATATCAGTAATTACGTAGTAGAAATTTGCTTATAGACATTTTTTTTTATTTTTGTAGTTTAAAGAAAGACAAAATCCTTCTCATGTCTTCTAATTTTGGTCCATATATATGCCCAAAAGAAATTTACATGATGAGATGTTTTTTGCAGGTTGCTTTTCCAAGTTTGGAGAAGATGATACTCTCACACTTGGTAACTTACAGTTGATATGGCACAACAAACTCCATGGATTCCTTTTCGAAACTAAAAGAAGTGAGAGTTGATTCTGTAAAAAATTGATGACTTGTTCCTTCTAATTCTACTCAAGGACTTCTTACCTTTCACAATCTAGAAACATTAACGTTTAAAAGATGTTGGAATATGAAAAGTCTGTTTCCAGTTTCCATAGCTACTGGTCTTTTGCAACTCAACGAGCTTAGATTATCGCTTGTGGGTTGGAGGAAATTGTTGTTGCCAAGGAGGAAGTAGATGGGACCCCTAGTTTTTGTTTCCCGAATTAACCTTCCTCAAACTTGATAATTACCAAACTCAAACATTTTTACATGGGGTTGCATGCAATTGGTGGCCAAGGCTAGAACGGTTGCTAGTGTATAATGTAAAAAGATGAAAGTAATGCTTCAGATGGAGAGAGCCAACCTCCCCTGTTTTCATTTGAAAAGGTATGACTTTCCTATTGCCACTAAAAGCAACATAATCATTCGGTTATTTGTGACATTTACTTTCTTTTCTCTTCAAACCAATTGAGTGGATTTATTGAATGTATTGATCATGTTTTAAAGTAAGATATAAATTTTGTCAATAGTATAATTCTTGTATTCTTAAAGTATTTTACAATCAGGTTGTCAGAATTATATCTATTTAGAACTATATATAATATAATTAATAGGAAAAGTTAAATGGTTAAAAGTGGCACCCTTTATACTAAATTTGACTTGTGAACTAGATGATGAGGATATTTGTTTGTCATTGATTTTCAGGTCATCCCAACTGGAATGGTTGGGTTTAAATGCCGAGAACATTACATCCAGATGCCTGGATCGTATCCAGCTAGGAGCTTTAGGAAACTTAAATTTTTTGGGCTGGTTAACTGTGACAATGAAATAATGGCATTTTGGTTTGGGTTCTTCAAAACTGTACCACCTGGAAAAATTCTATCTAGCTGATAGTACTCTACAAGAACTTGTTACCAAGTGGGCACATTTCTTCAAAATCTTCAAACTTGAAAGTAGAGAGATGTCATCTTTTGAAATATTTAATGCCATCTTCAGTAATTTCTTTCAAAAATCTTAAGAGTTTGGAAGTATTCGTTGCAATGGATTAGCGAAGATATTAGCATGCTCGCAGAGGAGAACTCTTGTCTATCTTACATCAATCCGAATAAGAGAATGTAAGTTAGTGAAAGAGGTAATAGCAAATGATGTAGACAACATTGATAAAGAGATTGCTTTCAACCAATTGAAAATTTTGGAGCTTCATTGTTTACCGAGTCTCACAAGCTTCTGCTCAGCCATTTCGATTTCGAATTCCATGCTTAGAACAAGTAATTGTGAGTCATGCCCCAATTTGAAGATCTTTTCTCAAGGAGGCTTAAGCACACCAAAATTAAACAGAGTACAACTAACCGAGCATCAATGAAGAATATTTGTGGAATGATGATCTTAATCCACTATCCATCAAATGTTTACGAAAATGGTACGTACTCATTCACATATTCTTTTATTTTGTTTTGCAACATTGCCATTAATCTCTCTCTCTCTCTCTCTCTCTCCCATATATATAATTTTGTGCCCTAGTACCAATTAGCTTAAGCTTTTAGATAAAGATAAAGTAGTAGTTTAACATTACTTGGGTCTTACGTGATAAGGTCCAAATGTTATAATGCAAAATTGGGTATTAAAAGTTTATAGAACAATTTATACTAAACAATGTACATAAATTTTTGGTTCATCAATTATGTGTAGAATGTATAAAGCCTAACCAATGGAGAAATTAAAATTGAGAAACCAAATCATGCTGTTTGTCTTGTTCTGCAAAATTGCCGAAATAATATCACTTTTGTAATTTTAAACATGCATTAAAAGTTAGTATTGATATGAACAAATTGCATTAATAGAAAAATAAGAGAAATAATTTTTTTTTTTTTATTTAAGAAATAAAACAATAGAGGAAGAGAAATGTAGAACTGAAGGGAAAGACAGTGGATGATAAATTTCCAAAAGTATTTGACAAATTAAGGAAATTTTGTAGTAAGATTAAGAGATTCTTTTTTTATAAAATGAAGATAAAACATTTAATAAATTCTAAATTTAGACAAACTAAAATTTAAAATAATTATTTTCTTTCTAAAATTTCAGGATTGATATGAATTCATTGTTAAGCTTAAAATACTTTTTTTTTTTTCTTCTTTTACACTTTAGCCTCTTCTAACACTTTTAAGCAAAAATTTTGTGTTTGTAGCTTGGATTTCGCAACTTAGAACATTTGAAACTCTAGAATTCCCCACATTGAGAAAAAGTTGGGAATTCTCAAGTTCCTATTGGCTTATTCTGCAATTTAAAGTCACTGGTTTTGGACGTGTTTTGGGTACGTTATCTGCAATTCCATCAAGTGTGTTAAGCGCCTTTAAAAACCTGGAAACACTAGAAAAGAAGAGTTGTGGTTCGCTAAAAAAAGTGTTTGATAGGATACCACAAAATGCTGATGGACATACGTTGAAGAAAACTAATCAAGAAGCTTTGGACTTCAACAACCTGAAATCGCTTAAAGTTTACAATTGCTGCAACTTGAGATGTATATTTACTCCATCTATCATCTCAGGCCTGCTCAACTCAAAAGATAGAAGTTAAAAATTGTGCGTGATAGAAGAAATCATCATGAAAGAAGAAGAAAAGGAAGCACACATTGAGGAAATTAGAATCCCCAACTAAACTCCATTGTTCTTGAGTCATTGCCTAATTTGACAAGCTTCTGTTTAGGAATTAATATTTTGGAATGTCCTGCCTTGAAAGCTATACAGTAGCCAAATGTCCAAAGATTGAGACATTATTTTCACTGATATGAAGCACCACCTGCCCACATTGTACCCTCTTTCAGCAAAAAGGTTGGTTAATCTGAAACTCTTTTTTCACTCTTTTAATTTTTTTATCTTATAATTATCCATATTATTATCATCTACGGTTATTAGAATTCGATGTTATGCATGGTTGAAAAACTATTGTTTAATTTGATATACTTTTGTCAGTGGTTTTAGGAAAAAATCTTTTTGTTGAATTTAATGATCGTAAATTTTTATTTCAATATTTGGAAAGCTTACCTCAAGATGTTTTTGTAGGTTGCTTTTCCAAGCTTGGAGACACTTCATCTGTATGATAGTACTTTCCAAGAACTATTCCCATATGAAGGTTATATTGGAAACAAGATTCCCAAATAGACACATTTCTTCAAAATCTTCAACTTTGAAAATATGGGATGTCATCATTTGACATATTAATATCATCTCCACAATTTCCTTCAAAAACATTAAGAATTTGGAAGTCCACTGTTGAATGGATTGGCAAATATATAGCATGCTCAATAGCAAGAACTCTTGTCATCTCACAATAATCAGAATAACAGAATGCAAGTCATGACAGAGGTAATAGCGACTGAGGCAGAGACAACGGAAGAGGAGATTGTTTTCAGCCAATTGAAAATTCTTGAGCTTCATTGTTTAACAAGTCTCAAGCTTTAGCTCGGCCAATTATGCTTTCGAATTCCCATGCTAGAACAAGTAATTGTGAGTCAATGTCCCAATTTGAAGATCTTTTCTCAAGGAGATTTAAGCACACCGAAATTAAAAGAGTGAACTAACAAAGAAGATCGATGAAGAATATTTGTGGAATGATGACCTTAATTCCACTATCCATCAGATGTTTACGAAATGGTACTTACTCATTCACATATTCTTTTATTTTCTTTTGAACATTACAATATATTACTACGTTCTTTGTAAATTACAGAATATGTGAGAAAATTGCCACGGTGCCAAACGCAGACCACAAGAATCATAATGGATACAAATTCTCGAAAACTACTCTTCTTGCAAGAACCCATTATCCTTTCACAACTATTTCAATTAAGAAATGTTTAGTTCTAGGACTCCACATTCTTAATTGTTTATGAAACCTATCTATCAATCTACACATGGCATAAGCAAATAATTGGCTAAGCAACAAAGTTGTTCTATATTTTTCACTGAATTTGTTTTAGAAACTTTTTGGGAAACTGGAATAAATTATTTTTTGTTTTGTTAATAAAACAATCTCGTGAGAATAACTTTTTTTTTCTGGTAACCTTGGGTTGTTTGCCTAGGTTAGATCTGGTGTTATTCAATCGGGTCCAAGGGTTCTTTACCGGTTAAAAGTTCATTTAAACTTCTCATCAGTAAACAGTGCAATTAATTTTTCAATTTATGTAGACTATAGACCGAACCAAATCAGAAAATTAAATTTAAGATCAAAACCTGCATCTTCTACTTCTTCTTGCATTTCATTGTTATTATATATCCAACTATTGGATAGTTTCATGTTTTCTTTGTCAAGTACTAATACATAAATTTCAAATGGTTCCACGGTATTCATGCCTAAGTGTTGGCTGGTCTAATAATTAGGGCACACAATGAAGACCTAAAAAAAAAAATGTATTAGAGGCTATATATATTTGACATAATCTCAATATTTTTCTTATGACCTTAAAATGTGTCTTAAATACATTAAAACCACCACATTAATGCTTTTATTTGAGTAGTTTGTTGAAGAGAATTTTGTTACAGGAATTTAAAACTTGTTAATTAGGAGTAATTACATCCTTGTCAACCTTTGATATTAAAATTTCGTCGATAATATGATGAATTCTATACTTAAGCATAAAATAGTATTTTTAATATTTTCAAATTAAATCATAATTCTCTTTTGCATGTTTTAACTAACGTAATGTTTTTGGTTTTGCAGGGTGGTTTTCGTAAATTTGAGCATCCGAAGCTCTGTGAATTTCACTCTAAAAGAAAACTATGGAATGGCAAAGTTCCAATTGATTTATTCTGCAATTTGAAGTCACTAGTGCTAGATGGGCTTTCGATATTCCACAATGGTTAAGCTACTTCAAAAATGTGGAAAAGATAGAGGTAAAAATTGTGATTCGCTGAAAGAAGTGTTCGATATGGAAGAGCAACTAGATTATGTTGATGGACATACAGCGAGAGAGTCATCGTGAAATTTGGGCTTCAAAATCTGAAATCATTGAAAGTTAATAATTGCAACAGCTTGAGATATATATTTACTGCATCTTTAGTCTCGAGCTTGTGCAACTGGACAGATAGAAATAAAAAATTGTGCTTTGGTTGAAGAAGTCATTACACAAAAGGGGAAAGAATGAGGTCATTGATAAAATTAAAATCCCTCTATTGAGTCCATTAGTCTGAGTCTTTACCAAATTTGACAAGCTTCTATTCAGGAAGTAATATTTTGGAAGTGCCTCCCTTGAAAACCATCAACATAAAAGACTGTCAGAATATACGTTTGAAGGACTTCAGCCTCATCTTCATCTTTCAGTGAAAATGTAAGTTTGTTTGAGTTTTATTTCCAAGATTAGTTTTATTAAAGAAATTTACATAGTGTAAAATAAATTGAAGTATCATAGATAATGTTATTCACAAAACAATCATAACATCTGCAGGTTGTGTGTTCCTACCATGGAAGACTTAACATTTTCCTCAATCATCACTAAGTGGATATGGCAGAGCCAACTGCCAGCAACATCTTCTTCCTTTCAAAAGTTAACAATCTTGGTCATTGATGGCTTTGATTATTTAAAATATTTTTTCTCTTCTTCATGGTCAAAAGTCTTTTCCAATTGAAGGAGCTTGAGATATCAATTGTAAGTTGATAGAAGGAATTATAGTTGAAGATGAAGAGAGGACGAGTACAATGCTGTTTCCGAAATTAACCAGCTGAAGCTTAGAGATCTTCCAAAACTCACAACATTCTGCAGCTCCACTGGAAATTTTGTTGAGTTGTCCTCCTTATTCAGATTGTGGATTGAAAATTGTCCTGGTATGAAATCATTTGTCTCCAATTCTATATGGAGTGACATGGCAATGACATCAACCAGGAAACTGAAGAAAGCAACTCAAATGAGAACCTCCACGCTCACATGCAATCTCTTTTTGATAAAAAGGTGATTTGTCCTGTCCCGCATTTTTCTTCTTTTCCAATTTCTTTTTTTGGTAGCATATTCAAGTTAATCTATTATCTTATCTTTTTCATTATGTCTCATTATATGTTTCTAATAATGGGTATGCATTATTGTAATGTATTGAATTCTCATGTAAGACTCCCACTTTGGAGAGATTGGTAATCAGTCGTGCCAATTGGCCTCAAAATGTTAAAATTCTTTATAGCTATAATGTACCATTATTACATTATTTGCAATTAATTAGTAGAAATTCACTATAACGCTCTTCTTTTGTTTTCCTTTTTTCTTTTAAGACAAAGATATATCTGTTTGATATGTTTTTATTGTCTAATGATGGTCTCAAATATTAATTATTATCATTTTCATTATCATTATCATTACCAAAACATTAACTGATTAACATAAGGAGATGTTTTTTGCAGGTTGCTTTTCCAGCTTGGAGAAGATGATACTTTACACTTGGATAACTTGCAGTTGATATGGCACAACCAACTCCATGGAGATTCCTTTTCCAAATTAAAAGAAGTGAGAGTTGAATTCTGTGAAAAATTGATGACTATTGTTTCTTCTAATTTACTCAAGGGCTTCTTACCTTTCACAATCTAGAAAGATTAACTGTTACGAAGTGTTGGAATATGAAAAGTTGTTTTCAGTTTACATAGCCTGGTCTTTTGCAACTTAAGAGCTTAAGATATCGCTTGTGGGTTGGAGGAAATTGTTGCTGCAAGGAGGAAATAGATGGGACCCCTGGATTTTGTTTTCCCCAATTAACCATCCTCAATCTGTAAATTTACCAAGACTCAAAACTTTCTACCTGGGGTTGCATACAATAGAGTGGCCAATGCTAAAACAGTTGTTGGTGTATGGTTGTGGAAAGATAAAAGTATATGCTTTAGATGGGAGAGCCAACCTGCCCTTTTTCATTTGAAAAGGTATGACTTTCCTATTACCACAAAAAAAAATGCAACATAATCATTAAGGTTTATTGTGACATTTTTTTTTTCTTATTACTTTCTTTTTATCTTCAAACCAATCAAGTGGATTTATTGAATGTATTGATCATGTTAATTAATATAATTCTTGCATTTTATAGTGTTTATATCAAGTTGTCAGAATTTATTTATTTAAAACATATAAATATTGGAAAAGTTAAAGGTTGAAAAGGGGCACCCTTTATATACTAAATTTGACTTGTGAACTAGATGATGAATGGAATTTTTGTTTGTTCATTGATTTTCAGGTCATACCCAACTTGGAAGTGTTGGCTTTAATGCTATACCATTACATCCAGATGCCTGGATTGCATTCCGGCTAGGAGCTTTAGGAAACTCAAATTTTTTGGGCTGGTTAACTGTGACAATGAATCAATAGCATTTGGTTTGGTGTCCTTCAAAAACGTACCATCTGGAAAAAATCTATCTAGCTGATAGTACTCTTCAAGAACTTGATTACCAAGTGAGCACATTTCTTCAAATCTTCAAAATTTGCAAGTACAAAGATGTCATAGTTTGAAATATCTAATGCCATCTTCAGCAACTTTCTTCAAAACATAAGAATTTAGAAGTCCACTGTTGTAATGGATTGACAAATATTTAGCATGCTTAGCAGTGAGAACTCTTGTCCATCTCACAACAATTAGAATAAGAGATGCAAGTTAGTGACAGAGGTATAGTGACTGAGGAGATTGAGGTAGAGACAACAGAAGAGGAGATTGTTTTCAGTCAATTGAAAATTCTTGAGCTTTATTCTTTACCGAGCCTGACAAGCTTTTGCTCAGCCAATTACGCTTTCCAATTCCCATGCTTAGAACAAGTAATGTTAGTCAATGCCCCAATTTGAAGATCTTTTTCAAGGAGGCTTGAACACACCAAAACTAAAAAGGGTACAACTAACAGAGAAGATGTGGTGAAGAATATTTGTGGAACAATGACTTAATTCCACTATCATCATCTGTTCACAAATATGGTACTTACTCTCTCTCTCTCTCTCTCTCTCTCTATATATATATATAATATCCCACAATGTACGTATATTTTAGATAAAGATTAAAATGAGAAATTAATTGAGAAACCAAATCATGTTGTCTGTTCTTGTTCTGTTAATTGCCTGAATAATATCACTTTTGTAATTCGGTGCTGTTCAGAAGTAAAGGTACCAGAGGTAAATTTTTGGGTGGGCTAATAAAATTTTTAAATATGCCTTAAAAGTTAGGATTGATCTTAAATTGAATTAGTAGAAAAATAAGAGAGATAATTTTTTAAATTAAGACTTTAAAAAAAAAAATTAAAAAACAAAAGGAAGAGAAGAAATGTAGAACTAAACAAAAGACAGTAGAATATAGACCAAACCAATCAGAAAATTAATTTAAGATCAAAACCATGCATTTCTACTTCTCCTGGCATTTCATTGTTATTATATATATAACTATGGAATTTTCATGTTTTCTTTGTCTAGTAAGTAGTAAATAAATTTCAAATCGTTCCATGGCATTTCATGAGGTGGTGGTGGTTTAATAATTAGGGCACACAATTGAAGACTTTAAAATAAAAAAATAAATTGTATTGGAAATTATATATATATTGACATAATCTCAATATTTTTTGTACCTTAAAATGTGTCTTATAATACATGTAAAACCACCCACATTAGTGCTTTTATATGAGTAGTTTGCAGAAGTAATTTATTTACAGGAATTTAAAACTTGTTAATTAGGAGTTACTACATCCTTGTAACCTTCGATATTAAAATTTTTAATATTATCAAATCAAAATTCCCAATGTGCAATGTTAACTAACGTAATATTTTTGGTTTTGCAGGTTGGTTTTCGTAAATTTGAACATCTGAATCTCTGTGAATTTCTCACCTTAAAAGAAAACATATGGAATGGCAAAGTTCCAATTGATTTATTCTGCAATTTGAAGTCACTAGTGCTAGATGGGCTTTTGATTGCAACTATTATTCCATCCAATGTGTTAAGCTACTTCAAAAATGTGGAAACGATAGAGGTAAAAAATTATGATTCGCTGAAAGAGTGTTTGATATGGAAGAGCAACTAGATTATGGTGATGGACTTTCAGCGAAAGAAAAGTCGTCATGAAATTTTGGGCTTCAGAAATCTGAAATCATTGAAAGTTGATAATTGCAACAACTGAGATACATATTTACTGCATCTTTAGTCCAAGCCCGTGCAACTCGAAAAAGATAGAAATAAAAAGTTGTGCTTTGGTTGAAGAAATCATTACGAAAAAAAAGGGGAAAAGGATGTGGGCATTGATAAAATTAAAATCCCTCTATTGAAGTCCATTAGTCTTGAGTCTTACCAAATTGACAAGCTCTATTCAGGAAGTAATATTTTGGAATGCTCCCTTGAAAAACATCATCATAAAAGACTGTCAGAATATACATTTGAAGGACTTCAGCCTCCATCTTCCATCCTTTTCAGTGAAAATGTAAGTTTGTTTAGTTTTATTTCCAAGATTAGTTTTATTAAAGAAATTTACAAGTGTAAAATAATTGAAGTATCATAGATAATGTTATCACAAAACAATCATAATATCTGCAGGTTGAGGTTCCTACTGTGGACGACATTAACATTACCGTCAATCATCACTGAGTGGATATGGCAGAGCCAACTGCCAGCAACATCTTCTTGTTTGAAAAGTTAACAATCTTGGTCATCGATGGTTTTGATCATTTAAAATATTTTTTTCTTCTTCAATGGTCAAAAGCCTTTTCGAATTGAAGGAGCTTGAGATATCCAATTGTAAGTTGATACAAAAAATTATAGTTGAAGATGAAGAGAGGACGAGTACAATGCTGTTTCCTAAATTATACCAGCTGAAGCTTAGAGATCTTCCAAAACTCACAACATTCTGCGGCTCCACTGAGAATTTTCTTGAGTTGCCCTCCTATTCAGATTGTGGATTGAAAACTGTCCTGGTTGAAATCATTTGTCTCCAATTCTATATGGAGTGAGATGACATCAACCAGGAAACTTGAAGAAAGGAACTCAAATGAGAACCCCACGCCACTGCAATCTCTTTTTGATAAAAAGGTATGTGTCCAATCCCCATTTTTCTTCTTTTCAATTTTCTTTTTTTGGTAGATCATATTCAAGTTAATCTATTATCTTATCTTTTTCATTATGTCTATTTATATGTTTCTAATAATGGGTATGTCATTATTGTAATTGTATTGAATTCTTCAGGTAAGACTCCCCACTTTGGAGAGATCGGTAATCAGTCGTGCCAATTGGCCTCAAAATGTTAAAATTCTTTATAGCTATTAATTTCACCATTATTTGCAATTAATTAGTAGAAATTCACTTATAACGCTCTTCTTTTGTTTTCCTTTTTTCTTTTAAGAGAAAGACATAATCTGTTTGATATGTTTTTATTGTCTAATGATGGTCTCAAATTATCATATTATTATCATTCTCATTCTCATTATCATTACCCAAACATTAACTGATTAACATAAGGAGATGTTTTTTGCAGGTTGCTTTTCCAAGCTTGGAGAAGATGATACTCTTACACTTGGATAATTTGCAGCTGATATGGCACGACCAACTCCATGGAGATTCCTTTTCCAAACTAAAAGAAGTGAGAGTCGAATTCTGTGAAAAATTGATGAATATTGTTCCTTCTAATTCTACTCAAGGGCTTCTTCCCTTTCACAATCTAGAAAGATTAACTGTTAAGGAGTGTTGGAATATGAAAAGCTTGTTTCCAGTTTACATAGCTGCTGGTCTTTTGCAACTTAAAGAGCTTGAGATTACGGCTTGTGGGTTGAAGGAAATTGTTGTTGCCAAGGAGGAAATAGATGGGACCCCTAGATTTTGTTTTCCCCAATTAACCTTCCTCAAACTTGCTAAGTTACCAGAACTCAAACATTTTTACGTGGGGTTGCATAAAATTGAGTGGCCAAGGCTAGAACGGTTGCTGGTGTATAAATGTGAAAAGATAAAAGTATATGCTTCAGATGGAGAGAGCCAACCTGCCCTGTTTTCATTTGAAAAGGTATGACTTCTCCTATTGCCACTAAAAAATGCAACATAATCATTAAGGTTTATTTGTGACATTTACTTTCTTTTTCTCTTCAAACCAATCGAGTGGATTTATTGAATGTATTGATCATGTTTTAAAGTAAGATATAAATTTTGTCAATTAATATAATTCTTGTATTTTTAAAGTCTTTTACAATCAAGTTGTCAGAATTATATCTATTTAGAACGTATATGTAATATAATTAATAGGAAAAGTTAAATGGTTAAAAAGTGGCACCCTTTATATACTAAATTTGACTTGTGAACTAGATGATGAATGGATATTTTTGTTTGTTCATTGATTTTCAGGTCATACCCAACTTGGAATGGTTGGGTTTAAATGCCGATAACATTACATCCAGATGCCTGGATCATATTCCGGCCAGGAGCTTTAGGAAACTCAAATTTTTTGTGCTGGTTAACTGTGACAATGAATCAATAGCATTTTGGTTTGGTGTTCTTCAAAAACTGTACCACCTGGAAAAACTCTATCTAGCTGATAGTACTCTACAAGAACTTGATTACCAAGTGGGCACATTTCTTCAAAATCTTCAAACTCTGAAAGTAGAGAGATGTCATCTTTTGAAATATTTAATGCCATCTTCAGTAATTTCTTTCAAAAATCTTAAGAGTTTGGAAGTATTCAGTTGCAATGGATTAGCGAAGATATTAGCATGCTCAACAGGAAGGGCTCTTGTCTATCTTACATCAATCCGAATAAGAGAATGTAAGTTAGTGAAAGAGGTAATAGCAAATGATGTAGACAACATTGATAAAGAGATTGCTTTCAACCAATTGAAAATTTTGGAGCTTCATTGTTTACCGAGTCTCACAAGCTTCTGCTCAGCCAATTTCGATTTCGAATTCCCATGCTTAGAACAAGTAATTGTGAGTCAATGTCCCAATTTGAAGATCTTTTCTCAAGGAGGCTTAAGCACACCAAAATTAAACAGAGTACAACTCACAAAGAAGATTGATGAAGAATATTTGTGGAACGATGATCTTAATTCCACCATCCATCACATGTTTGCGAATATGGTACTTTCTCATTCACAAATTCTTTTTGTTTTCTTTGGCATCATTGCTCTCTCTCTCTCTCTCTATATATATATATATATATATACACACACACACACACATAATGTACGTATATTTTTAGATAAAGATTAAAATTGAGAAATTAAATTGAGAAACCAAATCATGTTGTCTGTTCTTGTTCTGTAAAATTGCCTGAATAATATCACTTTTGTAATTCGGTACTGTTCAGAAGTAAAGGTATCAGAGGTAAATTTTTGGGTGGGCTAATAAAATTTTTAAATATGCATTAAAAGTTAGGATTGATCTTAAATTGAATTAGTAGAAAAATAAGAGAGAGAATTTTATTTTTTTTAAATTAAGAACTTTAAAAATAAAATAAAATAAAAAAAAGGAAGAGAAATGTAGAACTAAACAAAAAGACAGTAGACTATATAGACCAAACCAAATCAGAAAATTAAATTTAAGATCAAAACCATGCATTTCTACTTCTCCTGGCATTTCATTGTTATTATATATACAACTATTGGATATTTTCATGTTTTCTTTGTCTAGTAAGTAGTAAATAAATTTCAAGGCTCCGTTTGGTTCCCTTTTGGAAATATTAGTAGTAGTATTCCCAATAAAGTTAAACAGTAAAATTACAAAAACTCACAATAGTATTCAACTTTTTTTAAACCCCTTAAATTTATAAATTTAATTAAATACCCCTAAATATTTTTTTTAGAAATTGCAAAAACACTCTAACAACCCACATTTACCAAATTCCGGCCACCACTGTCGAAAGATGGTCGGAATCTGGTATAACGGTGCACTACCGGCTGAATCTAGCTGGTAGTGCACCGATCTAGCCTTTTCCAGCCAGATCCACAGTGGATTTGGCCGGAAAAGGCCAGATCTTTGGCCGTAGCCAGTCGTCAATGACGGCCAACATATGGTCGTCGTTGACCATCAATGACGACCATATGTTGGTCGTCGTTGACGAGCAAATGCGGCTAGATCTAGCCATAGATCTAGCCTTTCCGGCAAGATCCACCATGGATCTGGCCGGATAAGGCCATATCGGTGCACGACCGGCAAGATCTAGCTAGTCATGCACCGATACAGAGACTCCGGCCACCCTCCGACGGTGGTGGACGGCTGTCCATATTTTTTGGGTGGGTTGGGGGTGTTTTTGTTAACTTTTAATGTTTTATTATAGGGGTGTTTAGTAAATAAATAAATAAACATAGGGGGTATTTTATTAATTTTTAAAATTTACATCGTAATGCCTGCCCAATTCAACCTTTTTTTAACTTTTTTCACAAAACATTTCTAGAAAGTGTAAAAAAGTGAACCAAACAGAGCCCAAATCGTTCCATGGTATTTCATGTCTAAGTGGTGGGGTGGTCTTAATAATTAGGGCACACAATTGAAGACTTTCAAAAAAAAAAACAAAAAAACAAAAAAAAAATTGTATTGGAAATTATATATATATATTGACATAATATCAATATTTTTTTTACCTTAAAATGTGTCTTAAAATACATGTAAAACCACCCACATTAGTGCTTTTATATGAGTAGTTTGCAGAAGATAATTTATTTACAGGAATTTAAAACTTGTTAATTAGGAGTTACTACATCCTTGTCAACCTTCGATATTAAAATTTTTAATATTATCAAATCAAAATTCCCAATGTGCAATGTTTTAACTAACGTAATATTTTTGGTTTTGCAGGCTGGTTTTCGTAAATTTGAACATCTGAATCTCTGTGAATTTCTCACCTTAAAAGAAAACATATGGAATGGCAAACTTCCAATTGATTTATTCTGCAATTTGAAGTCACTAGTGCTAGATAGGCTTTCTGATATTGCAACTATTATTCCATCCAATGTGTTAAGCTACTTCAAAAATGTGGAATCGATAGAGGTAAAAAGTTGTGATTCACTGAAAAAAGTTTTTGATATGGGAGAGCAACTAGATTATGTTGCAGCAAAGAGAAGTCATCCTGAAATTTTGGACTTCAAAAATCTGAAATCATTGAAAGTTGATAGTTGCAACAACTTGAGATATATATTTACTGCATCTTTAGTCTCGAGCCTCGTGCAACTCGAACAGATAGAAATAAAAAGTTGTGCTTTGGTTGAAGAAATCATTACAAAAGAAGGGGAAAAGGAGGCGATCATTGATAAAATTAAAATCCCTTGGTTGAAGTCCATTAATCTTGAGTCTTTACCAAACTTGACAAGCTTCTATTCTGGAAGTAATATTTTGGAATGTCCTCCCTTGGAAAACATCATCATAAAAGACTGTCAGAATGTACATTTGAAGGACTTCAGCCTCCATCTTCCATCCCTTTTCAGTGAAAATGTAAGTTTATTTGAGTTTTATTTCCAAGTTTAGGTTTATTAAAGAAATTTACGTAGTGTAAAATAAATTGAAGTATCATAGATAATGTTATTCACAAAACAATCATAATATCCTCAGGTTGTGTTTCCTACCATGGACGACTTAACCTCATCCTCAATCATCACCGAATGGATATGGCAGAGCCAACTGCCAGCAACATCTTCTTGCTTTGAAAAGTTAACAATCTTGGTCATCGATGGCTTTGATCATTTAAAATATTTTTTCTCTTCTTCAATGGTCAAAAGCCTTTTCGAATTGAAGGAGCTTGAGATATCCAATTGTAAGTTGATAGAAGAAATTATAGTTGAAGATGAAGAGAGGACGAGTACAATGCTGTTTCCAAAATTATACCAGCTGAAGCTTAGAGATCTTCCAAAACTCACAACATTCTGCAGCTCCACTGGAAATTTTGTTGAATTGTCCTCCTTATTCAGATTGTGGATTGACAATTGTCCTGGTATGAAATCATTTGTCTCCATTTATAAATGGAATGACAAGACATCAACCAAGAAACTTGAAGAAACGAACTCAAATGAGAACCTCCACGCTCACATGCAATCTCTTTTTGATAAAAAGGTGATTTGTCTCTTTTTTCTTTCACATTGATTCCCTTCTTTGTTCACACTTTATGGAGATTCAAGTTAATCTATTTTCTCACTTTTTCATCATATCTCATGTCTATGTTTATAAATAATTAATAATCGGTACCTCGTAATTGTAATTGTAATTGAATTTTCAGGTAAGACTCCCCTGTTTGGAGAGATTGGTAATCAGTCATGCCGATGAAGTGGAAAAAATATGGGATGATCAGGTTTCCTTGGATTCCTTCTGCAAGCTTAATCGTGTGTTTGTGTATTTTTGCAATAAAATTTTAAATATTTTTCCATCTAACATGCTCGGGAGACACCAAGAACTAGAGATGTTGGAAGTACAAAATTGTGATTCAGTTGAAGAGATATTTGAAGTGCTTGAGAAAAGATCTGGCATGGTGGAGGAAATCGTTGCCAATGAAGAAGCAGGTCATAGATTTGTGTTCTCCAACTTAACAAGGTTGTATCTACAGAGGCTTCCAAGTCTCAAAAGTCTGTACCCCAACATACATATTTCAGAATGGCCGGTTTTAGAGGAGTTGAAGGTATATGGATGTAACAATGTGGAGACTTTAGCTTCAGAATTTCTGAGCATCAGAGAGACTCATAGACAGAGTCAAAATGAGACCCCAAATAAAAAATCACTGTTTCTTGTTTACAAGGTATGTAGAAGGTATTTTAACTAAATATTCATTGAAAAAATATAATTCAGCTTAAACGTCCACTCATGTATATGCAACTAAGAATTTTGATTCTCTATTCTGCTTATATAATATAGCAATTTGTGGTTTTTACCCTACTTTCTTGTGATACTCTAGGATGCATTCCCTAGATTGGAAGAACTTGAGTTATGTGAGATGCCCAGATTGCTTCATCTGTGGGGAGGAAATCCTCAACCTAACAACGCTTTTCAAAATCTGAAGACTCTAAAACTATCAGAATGTGGCAGTTTAGATAATTCATGGTCATCATCGGTGTCTTTCCAAAATTTGGTGACTTTGCAAGTATCAAAGTGTGATGGATTGAGATATTTACTAAGCCTCTCAAAAGCTAAAACTCTGAAGTGGCTTGCAAGTATGAATATATCTGAGTGCAAAATGATGGATCAAATTATATCCAATTTGGAAGGTGAAGTGGTGGGGGATTCAACTGCTTTCAACAATTTGAATAATTTGGAAATTCATTGTTTACCAAGCCTTACAAGCTTTTGTGGTGAAGATATTAGTCTTGAATTCCAATCATTGAAAAAAGTAATTGTCAAACAATGCTTGAAGATGGAGACTTTTTGTCTTGGAGTTTTAAGCACGCCAAAGCTACAAACGTTACAGTTGATAGAAGGAGAGGAGGAAGTTGAAGAATGTGGGGAAGGCAACCCTGAACTTAATTCTGCCATACAGCAATTGTTCAATAAAAGGGTATGTATTGATTCACAAAATTATCACATGCATTTCCCTTGCACTTTCTAATTGACTGTAAATTTTTCTTCTTTGGTAGATTATTGCGATTGATGTATTAATCAATTGCTTTAATCTTCTTTCTTTTATTTTGTGAATTCAATATGCTTTGTTATGATTACATAATGTGCAGAGTTCTGAGGAAGATTAAGGCCATTCTTCGAGTGCAATGTGATTGTTTATATTGCTTCAGATAGACTGCAGCTCCATTTTCCTGAAGATGAAGAGGATTTTTCATTCTGCTATCTTCATTGATGTTGTCTTGAAATTTGGTTGAATAGATTAATGCCCTCTCATTGCGCATTCATCCTGTTGCTTTACTACTTCGATTTGTTTTAGGCATTCTGATTTCTCCAGTTGTGGAACAATTTTTCAATACACTGTTTTGTGAATTTCTGTTTTAACACATTAATGGCTCTATCAACACTGAGTTTCTGGAAATCACAAGTGTTGTTTGTTGTAGGTGCTCATGAACTTGAAGATTATCTGACAGGTTAAGTTGTTTGAAACAACTTGGCATCCTTGTTTAAGTTGTTCTTTTTTGTTCATTGGTGTAACTCCAATGCTTAAAGAAGCCATCAGAGGAGCGTTTTTCCATTGCAAAAAAGGACATCCTTTTTTGTATCATTTCCAAACAAGTTGACAAATTTCCTGGATACATAAAAAGAGATCCTTTCTTTTCATCACTTTTGACAGGTTTAAAAAGAATAGTGTGCCATCCAATTTCTTAAGCATGTTCAAATTGGTTCTTTTTTTTTTTTTTTTTTTTTTTAATATTCAAATGGATGATTCTGTCGTTTATAGTCGAAAAAAAGATTCACAAGAGTTTTCCAAACCATAATTACATATTTCCCTTTTAAATATTAGTGAGGACTATAGCATTTATTCTAGTGTTTTAATAAGTTACAGTTGGTTTTCCGTGTTTGTTGGCATGATATAGATGTGGAAGGCAATGATACACTCTGCCTGGGGTCCTTAATTAGAAGATTTAGACCAAAACTGCTAGATGCCACAAACACTATGCTTAATCTTGAACAATGAATTTCTTCGGTTATTTTGCAAAGTTTGACTTCAAAAGTTATTCATGGTAAGAGAAGCGAGCATAATTGTTGCATTGTAGTGGAGATTTAGTTGGACTCCCACATTTGCAATTTAGGTGGTTTCTGCTACTGCTCCCTGAAATTTTTTGGGAGGTGTTGGTGATCAAATGTTGAAATTTTGGCAGCTGGAGAATTGTAAGGATGATTGTAAAATTCTGATGAAGCCTTTACAAAGCTTATGATTTTCAAGCCTATTGCCTACGGGTATGGTTTGTGGAGACTAGAAGGAAGCTGCGATTTCAGAGGTATATTTTTTTTCTTTGACATTCTTTTTTCTGCAACAAATTTTCGTTCTCTATGTTAAAATTTTTAACTGTTTTCATTTCCAATACTGGCATAAATTCTTCCTCCTTTGAGCAGTTATGAAGCATATTCAACCCCTCTTATATATCAAAACTTTAATTATGATATTCTAGTCTAATTCTTTTACTGCTAATTTTAACTGTTTTCATTTCTAACCCTAGCGGAAATTCTTTAACTGAACTAATAATTTTTAGATTCTCGAACTTGAAATGTCCATGTCCTAAGGGTTAAATCTCACCTCTCTTGAAGCGCTCCCGAACTTTGGTGGACATCAGCAACCCTTATACTGTACATGATAAGCTGTGCAATAAGGTGAGTGAGGAGGCAAACAGCTCATAAACCATGGATTGTTTGAAAGGGCAATGGCAGATTAGCTATTCATGTCTGCCCATGGTAAGAGCGCTTCTTCCTTTGATGAGAATCTGAACATGCATTATTGTTTACTCATCTTTGAATTATAGGAAGAACCAAGCAGTTATGCAACTAATTCAGTAACAGACCAAATTAAAAAGAAAAAAAAAATTTAAATTAGAGGATGAATATTGCTTGCTCATGATACAAATTATTTAATTTTGAAATCATGTTTGTGCTACTTCATGATGTGGGTGTTGTTGGGCTCTTCTTACTTGGGCTTGGAGGGTCATCATTGGCCTGGCTTGATGATGATATTAGTGGGCTTGTCTTGGGTGGGCTTGCAGGACGGGATGTTGCATTTAGACAAAATTACTGTTTGATAATTGATGAATAAAGTTCATACAAAAATATACTGTTTTTCATTTCAATCAAAACAGAGGCTGATGAATGACAGAACTCACTACGTTGCACATAAAAACTTAATATTTTGTATACATAATTTCCTTATACACCTCAATACAACAATTGTCTTTCAGTTTCCGTTCTGAAATGCCCCATTCTTCACCTCCAGCTCCGAGCAAGCTGACTTTTTCATCTTCACCGAAGGTGTGTTTTAATCATCTCAATTTACTTATATCTACCTGAATATCACATATATAGCTTTCATTTGTTGTTGTATAATGCTTGGGTGCTTGATTTAATTAAAATTCTTGATTGTATGTTAATGTATTGTATTTTGTTGTGTTGATATTTATTTGCTTTGGTTGATTAGTTAAATGGGTTCATGATTTCTTGGGATTGTTAATTTGCTTGTGAATGGCTATCATGTGTTTGAAAAAATTCCCCATTGAGAAACACACCCATACACTCAATTAATTAAAAGTTTGGCCACATCTTTATTGACAGATTATTAAATTTGAATTAATTAACGTTTCCATGCTTTTCATAGAGGAATTAGATTGGTTACAATGATCAAACAAAGCAATTCCATTTGTCAGATCACTTCCTTGCTGTCCGTGTTGTGATATTCTTTGCAGAATCTCTCATTCGCACACGCTTTCTTTGTTCAGTAGCAGAAGATATTCAGGTAAATTTATTTTTATGTCAATTCTTGTTCCATTTTTCTTGATGTTCTTTTGCGTTTTCTAGAAATTTATTTATTTATTTATAGAAAAAGAAGAAATTGAGTTATTTGTTTTGTTGGCTTATGTAAATTTATATGTTTATTTACTTTGAATATGATAGAAGATTTAGGAGAAAGTTGGGGCTTTTGTTGTAGGTAGGATAGTGCTAGTGAGGTGAAGAATGCTTAATGTTTGTAATTAGGCTGAACAAACTGGAATGTATTCTTAGTATTTCAGTTGAAATTATATAAATTAGTTATTTCTCTAGTCATGTAGTATTTAACAGTTCAATGCAGTTGATTTTTGTGACAGCTAAAGGGACAGACATTTTGTATGCAAAATGAGTAATTCTTCTGCCATACAATCTTGAAAACAAAAGGCAGGATCCTTGTAGCCTAATGAAACAACTTCCTTTAAGCGCAAGCGATGAGTCTTTCAAAAAGATTGTGAGTAAATGCCCTAGGTTTCTGTTTTAGATTTCTTATATTAGTGGAAACCTCTTTTCTGGGAGTTCTATTACTGTTTTTGTATTTTTACTCATGTATTTTCGTACTGCAGTGCAGCACATGATGTACGATTTTGGCAATGATCCTAATGTATGTAATGGTAGCTGTCTTTCAACTTTTTTTTTCCCCTTATCAACGGGATTGGGACACTGAATTGTGTTGTTGAGCAATCTCAAATTTAATGATTTGGTTGTTATGCATGGAACTGTATATGCTAATTGATGAATCTGTTATCTACTAATTTTATTTTTGATTCATGTGGATATCTCCAAATCATAACTTTTAAATGTAAGGTCTATTAGTAGCCTCTATCAGACCTGAATTAGCTCATTTCCCTGCATGCCCTAATTTTCATATGAAATTACTCTGATGTTCAGATTCAGCTGATTGCTGTCGTCACTTGTTGTTCATTGAGGTTACTTCTTGTTCATTCGGTTGACTCTAGCCAATTGGTTTTGGGGGATTTTGTGAATTTGGTAAGATAAACCCAGAAAATAGTTGGCAAGAATCTTTACATACTTTTTAAGTTTGCATCAAAATAATGTGAAATTTGTTTGCAGTGTTTATTACCTGTTTTAAGTGGCCTATAGCTGAAACTTTTTGCAGTCTGCATAATCCAGAAACGAAATAATCTTTTTCAGGCCTCCTGAATGTATGTCCTGCAAACACATACCTGCATGCATAGACATATATTGTTTATACTCTCTCTTTCTGAACAGATATCAGCTTCTTAATGAATTGATGTATATATCACTTGAATGACTATTTCAGGCCATCATATAATCCATGCTTCATTAACAACTAGAAACCTTAGTCTCCACATGGTCACATTTTACTTTTACATGATTCACATGGAACTGTTGTTATTTTGTTATTGGAATGTATAATGATATGAATTTTCGTCTTTTAAATTTTATGTCTAGTTTGATATACTATGAATTTCTTGTTTTCTTTCATTCAGCCACTTCCAGAAACTTTGACACTTGTGGAGTACATAGTTGTGGAATATTTCACAAATTTGGTATGCATTGTTTCTGATTAGTACTCATCTTTTTAATTTCTCTGATAAGATGGCATTGTAGGTGTGATAGCTATATATGCCACTAACATATTTACTCATTAATTAGATGAAATAGAGGTATTGTTATAAAATGAAATTTTTTCTTCTTTGGTACATTATTGCGATTTATGTATTAATAAATTGCTTTAATCCTCTTTCTTTTATTTTGTGAATCAAATATGCTTTATTTATGATTACAGAATGTGTAGAGTTCTAAAGAAGATTAAGGCCATTCTTTGTGTGCAAGCTGGAATTTGTTTGTATTTCTTCAGATAGACTGCAGCTCCATATTCCTGAAGATGAAGAGGATGTTTCGTTCAGCTATCTTCATTGATATTGTCTTGAAATTTGGTTGAATGGGGTTAGTGCTCTCTTATTGCACATTCATCATGTTTCTTTACCGCTTGGATTTGTTTTAGGCATTCTGATTTCTCCAGTTGTTGAACAATTTTTCAATACATTGTTTGTGAATTTCTGTTTTAATGTATTATTGGCTCTATCGACATTGAGTTTCTGGTCTATTTCCATAATTTCGTGATAAATTACTCTGTTTTCTCTGTTTCTGTCATCATATTAGAGCTTTTAAATTGACTATGCTTAATCTTGAACAATGAATTTCTGGGGTTATTTTGCAAAGTTTGACATCAAAAGTTATTTGTGATAAGAAAAGTGAGCATAATTGTTGCATTGTATCTGAAGATTTAGTTGGATTCCCACATTTGCATTTTAGTAGAGGTTTCTGCTACTTCTTTCTGAAAAAAATTTGGAGGTGTTGGTGATCATATGTTGAAATTTTGGCAGCTGGAGAATTATGGGGATGTTTGTGAAATTTTGCTGAAGCCCTTTCAAAGCTTATGATTTTCAAGCCTAGTGCCTATAGGCATGGTTTGTGGAGACTAGAAGGAAGCTGTGATCTCAAGGTATATTTTTCTCTGAAAGTCTTGTTTTTGTAACTAATATTCATTTTCTATGTCAAAGTTTTTAATCGTTTTCATTTCTAACACTGGCATAAATTCTTTATCCGTTGAGCAGTTATCAAAGTTTTCTTAAAATCCAGTCAGTTGTGTTCGGTGGACAGTTGCTCTTCTTCTAATAAGGCATGGAGCTCCATTTTGATTTGGAAGCCAATGATCGATACACTCCCTTATTAAAGAGTTGTCTTATGAAGCCACTAACAAGATTCGTATTGCTTCACCTCCTTAAAGAGCTATAAATGACAGAGCTTCCAGATCCTAATGTAAAGCCATAATCCTAAAATGAGATGGAGAGTTGAAGCACAACAATGCATGCATTCAGCACTTAAAAATCGATGGTTGTTTACTTCTCAAAAATATTCATTGTAAGAACCCAATTTCCTTCATCTCTAAACCCCTCTTGGTAGAAAATTTCTAATAAGAGGTTAGAGCTTGGGATAATAGAGAGGATACTTATAATTGATGGGGCTACCACATTCTTTCCAGAACAAGATATTTCCCACCTAACATCACCTTCTGTTTATGTTTAAGCACAAAATTCGTGGATGACTTATGCAGTGATGAAGGTTGTTTGTGGGATTGGATCGATATTTGAAATGAGTTTTATTGATTCACTTATGCAGTGATGATGTTGAGTTTTATTATGTGTAATGTTATACTTCTAACATTAATTTGCATTAAAATCGAAAATTTAAATAGAACATCAGTTTTGACTAAATGACTTGCCAGCTTAATCTCACTGTACATATGTGTTAAGTGGGTCCGGCTAGCATTGTACAAGTCCAAAACATATGGGCCTAACATGACATGAGACCATGGAGAGTTTACATTGGACTTAGACTTTAGGCAAGAAAACCCAATAATATTAGTACATTGATCAATACTAAAACATGAATAATTATTTGAAAATTTACATAAGGTTGTGAATTTTTACAACCATTTTGAATTTTGAATTTAAAAAAATTATTGTAAAAATTTTCGTATCAATATTTATTGGATCAAATAAATAAAAATTAAATTATTTTGTATAAAAAAAAAAAAAAAGAAAAGGAGCAATTTTAAGGTTTAAATATTATTTGTAAGAATTTTATTTTGTTTGCATTTTAATTTACATTCATCCAACTTACAATTTAAATCTTAGCTGGGTCATTACAAAGAGAGTCGAAAGCTAATGACAAAGACTAGTGAAGAAGTAAAGCTTAGAGAGTGAAGACAAGACAAATCTTTTTTGTTTTTAGAAGTTTGAATGATAATATGAGAAAAATGGATTTAAAAATAAAATAAAATTAAGTTTAAAAGCGTTATCGTTAGTTTTAATTGGGGTTTAAAGGGATATTTTAAAACATAAATATTTGATGTACTTAATGATAGGTGATACTAATATATTATATGTAACAAAATCAACACATTTACCACCATTGCAAACAACCATCGATTTATAAAATTTATTAAATATTACATTAAACAAAATATATCATACAATTTTGATGATATTAAAAAATAAATTAATATTTAAATCACTCAATTGTATAAATTTTTTGTAATTTTTATCTGTTTATATAACTCAATTGTATGATTCAATTGTAAGCAAAATATTATTGAAATCTGACTGTACGAGAAGTTGTATAAGGGATATTACAATTAACACCTCACGTAAAGACCTAAATTTTAGTGGCTAGTAATGAGGAATATGACATTGATACTTTTGCGCAAATACATTAATATAGGAAATGTTTGGTTTCGGTATGAGACTGGCAATGGGATGGAAGTGTACCAAGGGATATGGAATAGTAAATTCTATTATTATATGTATATTCTAAATTTCATTGCTTGTAATTAGGAATGCGAAGGGAATTGAATAAAATTTGTGATTCTGAAATGAAATTACTTCAAGTCTAAATTTTTATATATGTATATTCTATTACATCATGAAATCCATTAAAAATTAATTAGATAAGTACCACCTCAATAATTTAAAATATTTCATAAAAAATTAAAATTAAATATTATAAATAAAACTTAGATTATATTTCTATATTTTATTTAATAATTATTTATTATTATAATTATTATTTTTTTTAAATTGATAAAATGGAACCGATAGCCAGCCGACATCACCAAGCAACAACCATCCCTAACTTGCCTACGCGTGGACGCCCACCGGCCGACGATTTGTTAATCTAGGCAACTCCCAACCACCAAGGACCAATGATGTAATATTTCTGCCATTAAGTGTCCTTTAACTATAGTTTAAGAAACTTGTGTTCTCTCTCTTTTTTTTTTTTTTTTTTTTTTTTTTTTTACCGAGGTTGTCCAGGTCAACTCACATGTATCTCGATTAGTCATTTGATCTCGAACAAGGCTTCTGAAATAGACAAGCCATATGGTTTGTGGATAACAATATTAACAACCGTTCTTGTGATTCAAACTTGAGATCATAGAGAGAGTAAACCCTTTGATCCTAAGTTTTCACCACTTAGCCAACCCATTATTGGTTAGTTATCCCTAACATTGCCAACGCATGGAGGCCCAAGGGCCGACGATTTGTTATTCTAGGCAACTCCCTGCCGTCAAAGAACAATAATGTGACATTTTTCCACCATTAAGTATCCTTTAACTATAGTTTTAGAAACTTGTGTTTATTTTTTTATTTTTTTTTATTTTTATTTTTTTAATAAATATATGTTATCCTTTTAAGTTAAAGTTAATACACAATCTCTTAGAAAGCTTTTATAATTTTGGAGACGTCTCTCTTTCTTTTTCCATAAATACATTATATCTTTAATATCTTGATTAATTCAACTGATTTATTTTTTCACTTATGTAAAATTAAAAATAAAAATTCATTTTTCTAAGTACTTTTTCTTTTATTTAAAGTAATTTGCCAAAAATATTTATATTGACGTCCTCTTTAATTTTAAATCTATTTGATAAACATACTATATGAAATTATTCATTTTTGTCCTAGATACTATTTAATAAGCTGTTAAAACATCTTTGTTGGATACCCGTTAAACTTCGTTTTTTTTTTTGTTAATTCTATATGTCTTAAAATCCTTGGAATATGAAACAAATTTTGTATAGGTTCAATTAACTTTATAATTATATCAAGTACAAATCAATTATCCAAACACATTCTATATAATTAGATAAAGGAAAATAAAATTCAAGTCCCAAAAAAAATGAGAAAATAAGAAGATATTATATTTATTATATATATATGGAAAATTGGAAAAAAGGAAAAGGCTAACATACATATAATTATTAATGTTACAATCACAATTTAATGATGATGGTGGGAGATGGTCAATAACAAAGTAATAGCAGGACGTCATCACATCTGTATAAGATAAAACCGTGTTTGCCTCTAATAAGGATTCACATAATAATTGCAACAATTACGTAGGTTACACAAAACTTATACAGACCATCTCTTGGTATAAATGGTGGCAAATGGCAATTCCACTCGGTGGCAACTTTCTACATCATATTTGTTTATGAAGATCATTAACAACGTAAATAACAACAAAAAATAATTAATCAGTCAAAAATGTTAACGAGGTGTCATACTTGAAAAAGTTACCTCGTTAACAGAACAACTTTTACCATTTAATGAGGACTGAATTGACTGAGCAACTCGAACAATAGAAATGCAGGTTGGCTAGGCTTAGGAAGTGTACATTATCACTTACTAACATAAAAACTACAGTGACATAGTAGGTCTATATGTTGGATCTTCTGAACGACAACAACCCTATATGGATAAATTTCATTACTTCAACCGGAACATGTGCTTGCGCAAGTACGGGACCATTAACTCTAATGCATTTCCTCACACCATAGTTTCCACGCCTGAAACATATAAATTTAAGTTATAAACTAAAATTTTCGAAAAGATATTGATTTAGGTCCCTAATATTTTAGAGTAAACTTTTGGCATTAATATCACCAACATTTTGATCCCGAAAAATGAAACTTTGGTCCCTATAAAAACATATGAAAGTAACATATTTAGGTCCCTTGGATAAGAGTCAAAGTGTTACTTTTGGATTTTAAACGACCAAACTGTCTCCTAACCTAAACTTCAAGGATAAAATGTTTACTTTCGGTCTCTCATTAGAAATTATTTTCAAATTTAATGATATATATATCACATAACATAAGCAAGGAGGCTGCGGCCAGTTTCGAAAGATGAAAGCTGGTATTCTTTCTTCCACTTAATCTCTAGTAGAAGACATCCGAAACTGAAGACATCTGATTTAACTGAAAATATTCCGTCCATAGCAATATGGAGCCATGTAGCCACTGTTTGAATTTCAAGAAAAAATTTGAGAAGAGAATTCAACATCATGTGCATCTTCACACAGCAAATTTCCATATAAAAAAATGTTATAGACAAGGAAAAAAAATATCCAAAGCAATTTTCCATTATATTTTATAGTACTGAAGGAATTGAACAAACGGGAAGATATATGCTTACTATGTTCCAACTACTCTTAGGGTATTAGCTTCACTTTGATTTCCACCAAATATTCTCGCCATACCAAAATTTGATATTTTTGGATTCTCTCATGATCTAATAAAATATTACTAGTCTTTAGATCCCGATGAATGATTTTGAGTCGAGAATCCTCATGCAATACAAAAGACCTCGAGCGATTCATTAATGACTAGCTCTTCCCTTCAGTCCAGTTGTACACTCCTTGTTGAATCTAACAACAGAGTAAAGGAAAGGAAATACAACACCAATCACCAACTTTGTCATTCTTAATTTATGGCTAAGTAAGGAAATGTATTCAAGTTTTAGTTCTTATATAATATGCAACAAGAGTAAGTAGTTAAGTAGTAAATGTTTTGAGAGGCAAACCAAATAGGTGCATATCAAGGCTCTTGTTTGGCATGTACTCGTAGATGAGCAGCAATTCTTTCCCTCTAAACAGCATCAAGAGTACAACGGTTTTTATGTGTAATTTGGAATTAAAATAACTTCATTCTTGAACTCTTTAGTCCTTGCCCAGATCTTCTGAGAGCTTTTGACTGCAATTCTTACCATCTGCTAATACTGTAACCAAAACTTAATTGCTACCATCAAACAAAAAAGACAACGAAGAAAGTAATAATTATATCATGCTTTATATCATGACATTAATAACGAAGATGTTGGTAAGTGATGTATATAACCATACAAACTAAAATCTCCAGTCTTTAAGCTTGATATAAATTGTGATTAGTGTCTAGTGATCAATAAAAAAGATTAAACAGAAAACAAATCTCAACTAAAACATGTTCATTCATGTACACGTATTATAATTCATAAGGTTTGTAAAAGCTCAATAAACTCATATATGAAAAGAATCCGTGTTCATAAAATAATTAGTTGCACCATAGGGAAAAGGAACCACCGTTTAGTTAATTACCTTGTACACAGGACCAAATCCTCCTTCTCCAAGCTTATATTCATTGGAGAAATCTTGTGTAGCCTCTAATATTTGACCTAACGGGAAAAGAGGGAAATCTGGAGATTCTACCTGCTTCTCTCCACCTAAGATATTATGCTCGCTGTCATCTTCGGAGAAAAGTAATTGAATTGCTCGTCTTCTTACTTCCTCCTCTGCATGTCAGACTGAATTAATCTAGGTTCTGAAAGAAAGAAAAAAAGGGAACAGCTTCAAATTTGTAAATGGCAAGCTTATAGAAGAAGTAATTACCATTTTTTCTTCTCCAAATACGCCAAAAGAAGAAACCAAATAGTACGATTACCAGAATTGCTGATACAACTGCCCCGATAACTATCCATTGTGATTGGCTTCTTTTTCCTTCTTCAAAGAAGCAAATATCTGTCAATATTTAATTTTGCATGTAACCGATATGAGGACTACATAATGTACTCCAAAAAATAAATTAATGGTTATGAATGATGGAATAAGAATGCTCTCAAAAGTCCTACTACTACTGCACAAACTTAAAAGAGGACACTCAAATAAATGTTTAATTTGAACTATTTTCAATAAAATGTAAACTTACCAGGTGCCATTGGAGGAGGCAGTGACGGAGTACCTGCAGTAACGTTAAAAAGTTAAATATTAATGCTTGTTAAAATACAAATTTTAGTTATATAATTTCGTCAACGCTGTCAAGTTACGGGGTGGAATCGGAGGGGACGGGGACGGAGATTCTGGAGTAACATTACAGAATGGATACATCTGCCAGAGAAAAATACATGTAGGTATGCGAACAATACCTCCTTGATCCCCATTGCAGCAAGCCTGATATTGAGCCGCAGATGTACGTAGACAAATCTCATAATCACTTTGAGGTAAGTCTGCAGTACACTGCATTAATGCATACGTACGTACAAAGGCTGTCACATTTACTTCTTCAGTAACAAATTTTTTCTCAGAACTAGAGGCCTTTAATACCATTCTAGAAGCCAAATTCTTTGAAAAATGAGTATTTTCCATAGCGTACAAAGCAGGGAGAATCGGAATCCCTTAATCCCCAGGAAAGAGCTTCTTTCTGGTTCGGACAGTTTGCAATAAGACCATCAGTTGCTGAACTGACACAACTGGCGCAAGATACGTTCGTAGAATCTCCTCTGCAAACCGCACGAGCATAAACTCTGTCAGAGTGTTGGCCAAGGACGGCCATGTAAAAGCCGCCATTTATTTCGACATTAGTAGCAAGAGATGAGGGGAAGGCATTGCGGTTCTTTTCATACTCGCTATTTCTTGTGAAGTTTCCAGTCTCGTAACAAATATGAGCAAATTCATCTACAGTAGAAACACTGATGCTTATAATAAACATATAAAGAAGAATGGAAAGCAAGTATGTAGAACCCATTGCAAGTTTCCGCATTAATATTGTCAAGTTAATATAAATGGTTTGGAGAAGATGAAGCAGCACTCGGTCATTAGATAGGAGAAATGAAAGGTTAATTGCCTGGAGGCCGAAGGGCTTATTATCTTCGACAATATTTCTTATGGAGGCCCCCGTACCTTTGAAAACTGAGAATTTCATTGGAAAATTGCTCCTTATAAGGCAATTGTCTAATCTCTAATTTTCTTCACGTAACTTCCTAAGAAAGTTCTCTGATCTCTACTTTTCTTTGCCTCAAATAATCTTTTAAACGTAAAGACTTGACTAGTAAATGTCTTTCCATAATACAGAGAATACTGACATGAACAAATTAAAGGAAGGATATTGGCCATTCAGTACTTTTTTAACAAGACAAAGAAAACAGAAATTCTAGGAAGTAACACCTAGAAAAAATAACTCCGACGTTGGAAACTTTTTATTTCAGTCAGTCAATTTTACAAACGAGTGGCACTCATGTTTATATACACACCTGGGGATAAATACGGCTCTACCCCCCCCCCCCCCCCAAAAAAAAAAAAAACTCTTTAAACCTCATTTAATTCCGGAAAATAACCCTCTAAGCTTAATTAGGTTTATTTTCTCTAATTTAAAACTTAATTAAGTTTTTTGTTTCACACTTTTTTTCCCAAATCAAACTTAATTAGGATTTTTCTTTATACCTTTTTTTTTTTTTTTTTGCCCTAATTTCAACTTACTTTTTAATCTTCATAGTCAATTCATCTAGTTATCTTTTCTATAGTTTTAGTATTATATTTTTATCAACAAACAAATATTTAAAATAAAACAAAAGTTATGTATAGAAATGATTATTAAAATTTAGGATTAGGTTATTAAAAATTGGGGTTAGGGTTTATGTAATCAATGTTAAAAAATCAAAACAAAAATAAAAAATAAAGTATGAGTGTATTTAGATGTGATAAAGTTATTTCTAATGATTTTAAATTCGCCAAAACAAAAAATAAAATTAAAAAATACTTACCTTAACTTATTTGGGTCTAGTTGTTCCCTTTTGGGCCGATAATCTAAGTGCTGGTATTAGTTTTTAAGAGGAGGAATGCTATTTAAGTCTCTTAAATCTTTTCTAAACCTCATTAATATTTGTTTAAAGTTAATGTATATATAATTTAAATTTAAAATTACTAAAAAGCACCTTTTTATCACAATTAATACAGTTCATGAATTACTTATACCACTCTTTATTTCAATGAACTAAAATCTTTATATATATATACTCTCACAATAAATTATCTTCATTTTCTCTACACATTCATTAAATTTGACATTAAACCTTTAATGACTAATAAGGTTGTATGTTAGAACCACCCTTGGGTGGTCGGGGGAGCAATAGAGACTTTTCAAGAGATCTCGAGTTTAATTTCTTTCGGTTGCTAGTAGGGGTGACCACTGATATCCAGTTATTAACTTTAGGACATCAAGAGATTAGTCGAGGTGTGCACAAGTTGGTTAGACACTTTCGATCACCAAAAACGGTTGTATGTTAGAAACCATAAAATACAATTTTAATTCTCTAATTTCTATCAACTATATATATTTGAATTATTTTTAATATTGATAGCAATCTTATATATATTATACGTCATAGTCAAATATAAATAAAACAATTATAATATATTAAATAAGATATTAAAAATGAATATTGAAATTATAATGATCGATATTTTAATAATTTTTTTTTTTTTTTTTTAATTTTAGCCCTTCCATATTAGATTCCTAGCAACTAGAAAGTAGTCAAAGTCTTTGAACCAAACAACGTGACGAAGTGCTGCCGTGCTGGTACAGTTTTGGTTTTTAAGAGGAGTGATGTTATTCAAGTCTCTTAAATCTTTTCTAAACCCCATTAATATTTTTTTAAGGTCATGTATACATAATTTAAATTTAAAATTACTAAAAAGCACCTTTTTTATCACAATTAATACAGTTCATGAATTACTTATTCCACTCTTTATTTCAATGAACTAAAATCTATACATATATATACTCTCACAATAAATTATCTTCATTTTCTCTACACATTCATTAAATTTGACATTAAACCTTTCATGACTAATAAGGTTGTATGTTAGAATCGCTATCGGGTGGTCGAGTGGAATAATAAGGACTCTTAAATATATCATTCAAAAGGTTTTGAGTGCAATTCCCTTCGATTACTAATAAGAGTGAACACTAGAGGATATATCGAGTCGTTAACTTTAGAGCCTCAAAAGATTAGTCGAGGTACGCACAAGCTAATCTGGACACTCTTGGTCACCAAAAAAGGTTGTATGTTAGAAACCATAAAATCCAATTTTAATTCTCTAAGTTTCTATCAACTATATATATTTGATTTATTTTTTTATATTGATAACAGTCTTAGATATATTATACGATCATATTCAAAATATAAATGGAACAATTATAATATATTAAATAAGATATTACAAATGAATATTGAAATTATAATGATCGTTATTTTAATAATTTATTTATTTATTTTTTAATTTTAGCCCTCCCATATTTGATTCCTAGTTACGCGTAAATACTAATAAGTAGTCAAAGTCTTTGAACCAAACAACTAACAAGTAGTCAAGTCTTTGAACCAAACAAGGTGCCCTCTTCACAAGTACATTAAAAAATGGATAAAGATTGGCTTACAATCTAATTTTATAAATTTTTTCTTATAATCCTGATATGACAGCTTACAATTCGACAGATGTAACCCATAGTAAGCAGACATAATCTATTTGCGAGCTGACCAATTGCAAGCTACTATATCAGGATTGTGAGAGAAATAAGGATGGGCATAATCCCTGCCAAGTTGGGGACCTAGTGCAACCCGACCCGAACGAGGTGGAGTTTTCCTGAATTGTTTGGGGTTCAAGTTGGGCCCGAGTTGAAAATCTGTCCCCGAATTTGGGGACGGGTCGGGGATGGGATTGGTCTTGCCCTACCCGACCCAATCCCAAATTCTCCCCACCCTGAATTCCCCGACCCGACCCGTCCCATACAATATTATTATTATTATTAAATATTTGTAGTAAGGTTTAATTTTAACAATTTAATCATATATTAATTTCAATAGTTGAAATCAATCAATGAAGCCATAAATTATACAAGAACAAATTATAATTGTATGAGTATTTTATGAAACCATATACAAATGGGTAATATATAATAATATATTAAATATAATAAATTATTATAAATATCTGTAATACATAATAAATATATTATATATCTTTGTTTTTTTTTTTTGTTTTTTACCAAAAACAAAACTAATCGAATATATATATATATATATATATATATATATATAATATGTATGAATTATACATTATACATTATGCATAATATGTTAATGCTATAAAACAAAAGTTATACATTATACATTATATAACATATATATTATGTATTAACATGTGATTACAGCTAATATGTTATATATAATATGTTATATATGTATAACATATTAGCTGTAATCACATGTTAATACATAATATATATGTTATATATGTATAATATATTATATATTATACTTGTACATAATATACTATTATCCATAATCATAATATCATATATTCATATGTTATATTTATTACTTAATATAATAATACATAATACATAATATATTTATATATATATGTATAACGTATCATAATTATAATTTTGATATTTTAATTCATTATAACAAGTCAATAAATCATTATAAATTAAAAAAAATTAAATGCAAAACCCCCAAACGGGGATTTCAGGGACTTCTCAAATTCTCTGTTTGGGGATTGGGCCTAATTCAGACTGAATTTCCCGTTTGGGCTTCGGGCCGGGACCAGGGAATCCCCTTGGGCTTTCGATTCCAACCCCACACAGGCCCGTGCCCATCCCTAGAGAGAAAGTTTGTGAGATTGGGTTATAAGTGTAGTATAACTTTTAGGATGCGTTTGGTTCAGGGAACGTTAGATTATTAGGAATATTGGATTACTGGAAAGTTAGATTACCTTAAAGATTACTGAGAATCTTTAGGAAAATATGTTTGGTTAGTTAAAATAAATTAGTGGATATATTATATTAATATGTTTGGTTGGGAGGAATAAATTGGTAGGTATGTTATTTAAATTACTAAATTGCCCTCTTTTTAAATATTAATATAATATTATTTTTATTATTAATTTTTGAAAAGTATTTTTTAATCCCCAACATTTAAGATTTAGCTAAAACACCCCTGTTTATATAAAACTTTAATTTATAACAAAATCACCCCTACCATCCGAAGTCACTGCCTACCACTACTAGCCACCATAAGAGGTCGCCGAAAGTCACATGGAGTCACCGTGAGTAGCCCACCATCACTGGGAGGCTCCAATATGGCCATTTTTGGCCATATTGATGGCCGAAAAGGCCATATCGGGAGCAGATCTGGTCAGAAATGGCCAGATCTATTCTGGCCATTTCCAACCAGATCGATGGGTCTGGCTTTTAATGGTCATATCTATTCTAGCTGGAATAGATCTGGCTGTTAACGGCCAGATCCATGGTCGTTAACGGTTATATCTTATTCAGATATGGCCGATAAAGGCCAACGGCCAGATTTGCTCCCGATATGGCCTTTTCGGCCATCAATATAGCCAAAAACAACCATATCAGAGCGTTTCAAAGCCTCTCAGTGACTCTCGGTCATTTTTAGTAACTCTAGCGACTTTCCAACGTAATCTTACAATCCCTAAGAAAATAGAGGTAATTAGATTACCTTCAATATTACCAACAGTAACTACTATTGGTATTGGAAGATTACCAAAATCTTATATTACTTGACAATCAAACGTGGTAATCAGGGGGCGTTTGGTTGGGGGTTATCTAGGATTACCAGGGTTAAGTCATCTTATATTACTTAATTACCATGTTTGGTTGTCAAGTAATATAAAATACCGGTAATCTTCAAATACCAATAGTAGTTACTATTAGTAATATTGGAGGTAATCTGATTA